CTTCTGCGCCTTCAATGATTTGGTGATTGGTGGTAGTGTGTTCAAACACAAGGATATACACAAGACGACATGGATTTCACCAGATGGAAACACCAAGAACCAAATAGACTTCATCTCAATTTCAAGAAAGTGGAGACGGAGCCTACTGGACACAAGGTCAAGGAGAGGAGCAGATGTGGGTTCAGACCACTATCTAGTACAAGGGACTTTCAAGGTGAAACTAAAAGCCTCGAGGATAGCTGGGGATAGGCCACAATGCAAGTTCAACACTCAATTACTGAAGGACACAACCACAAAAGACACTTTCACTGCAACTGTCAGAGCAAAGCAGGAAACACTACGCGACATCACTGAAGAATCATGCGTGGAAGAACATTGGAAGTCTCTGAAGGCGATTCTCAACGAAACGTGTTCAACGGTTCTAGGAAGAAAGAAGAGACAAGACAAGGAATGGCTCTCAACGGACACTTGGAAATTAATAGAAGAGAGGAGAATGGTGAAAGAGAAAATGATTCAATGCAAGGACGGACAGGAGAAAGAGATGCTGAGCTCAACTTACACAGCACTGGACAAAGAAGTGAAGAAGAGTGCTAGGAAGGACAAAAGACGATTCTACGACAACCTGGCCACTGAAGCTGAGAAGGCAGCAGGCAAAAGGGACCTGAGGACACTATATCAGATAACCAAATCTCTATCCGGGAAGAGACCAACACAAGCGAAACCTATAAAAGACAGCCAAGGGAACCCAATTACCAAGGAAGAAAAACAGATTAAACAATGGGCGGATCACTTCAAAGGACTCTTGAACCGACCATCACCTGCAACCCGTCCAGAAATACCAACAACAGCGCGCACACAACTGCAAGTTGACACCAATCCTCCAACGAGAGCTGAAGTCTTGAACGCAATCAAGCTTCTGAAAGCTGGAAAAGCAGCCGGACCAGATGGAATACCCCCTGAAGCACTGAAAGCGGACCCAGAGACTACAGCAGACATGCTGACTCCATTATTGCAAAAGGTCTGGAAGGAGGGAAAGGTGCCTACTGACTGGAGGAAAGGTTACCTCGTGAAACTACCAAAGAAGGGCGACTTACGCCTCACTCTGCAAGAACTGGCGAGGAATCATGCTCCTATCGACGCCAAGTAAAATCCTGAGTCGCATCATCCTGGAGAGATTAAAGGACGCACTGGAGACAGAACTCCGACCAGAACAAGCTGGATTCAGGAAAGGCAAATCATGTACTGACCAAATTGCAACTCTACGCATCATCATCACAGAACAAAGCATGGAATGGCAATCAAACCTCTACCTCAACTTTATAGACTTTGAGAAGGCCTTCGACAGCGTTGACCGTGAAGTAATTTGGAAATTACTCGAGTACTATGGCGTACCCCAAATATTCATCAACCTTATTCAACAGCTGTACGACAACGGCACATGTCAAGTGATCCACAACGGAAAACTCAGCGAGGCGTTTGGAGTAAACACAGGAGTCAGACAAGGGTGCTTACTATCATCCTAATTGTGGTGGACTGGATTATGCGTCAGACAGTGGGAAACGAGAAGACAGGAATATCCTGGACCGACGTGAAGAACCTAGAAGACCTGGATTTCGCGCGTGGATGATTTATGTTTGATGTCACACACAATCGAAGACTTACAAGCGAAAACCGACAAACTGGTCGAAGAAGCAGCGAAGACAGGACTCCAGGTAAACATAGACAAGACGGAGGTTATGAAAATAACCAACCAACAACAAAACAGCAGCAGCAACATCCAACGTCAATCACCATCAACGGGAGGGATTTGAAAGAGGTTACTTCATTCACTTATCTAGGGAGCATTGTCTCAACTACAGGAAGCGGGATGGACGAGGATGTCAAATCGAGAATCGGGAAGGCGAGAAACACATTCATCAGCCTGAAATCAATCTGGAAATCTTCGTCACTCAGCATCACCAACAAAATTCGGATTTTCAATACAAACGTAAAGTCAGTTCTTCTATACGGATCAGAAACTTGGCGGGTCACAAAGAATATTTCCAAAAGGCTGCAGACCTTTATTAACAACTGTCTTCGCTCAATACTGAAGATCAGATGGCCGGAAAGAATCACCAACAAGGAATTATGGGAACAAACAAACAACAAGAACCAATCGCCAACCAACAAATATGCAGGAGAAAGTGGAGATGGATCGGACACTCGCTGAGGAGACCGCTGGGTGACATCGCGCGTCAAGCCCTCGAGTGGAACCCGAAAGGGAAGCGGCGTGTGGGACATGGAGATCGTGTGAAGAGGAGTTGAAAGAATATGGACTAACATGGATGCAGGCGAAAAGTACAGCAGAAGACAGAAGCAAATGGAGACATGCAGTTGGAGCCCTGTGTTCCACTAGGAACCCAAGGGAACAATAATAAAAATAATATATATATATATATGCAGTTAATTACCCAGTGGTGCCTCCCAATTTTCGTGTTACTTATTAGTTAAGATGATATAGGTTTTTTCAGTTTTGTTCGGAAGGTTTTTGAATTTAGCTCGTACTATTTCAATAAGACATCCATGTGAGTAACGTTCGTACTGTAAGAAATTTCTGTCTACAGTAGATACAAGTATCTTACAACACTTCTGTATGAAACATTCCAGTCGTCTTGGTCACCTATTTACACCAGAAATGATGACCATTTCACGCATACTCCCATATCGAAAAGTCTATCAATCTCTTATTTCCAGGCCACTTCACGTATAAATGATGTTTTCGTATTCAATGTAATTCGCTAACTCAATATACGGTATCACTACTGGAATATGCATTGTCACAATATTTAGCGGAAAAAATTAGTTGAACCGACATTCACGTAAAATCTAAATTATTTCATCCTCGTTATTTCTTTCCCACTATGTAAATAATGTTCGAGATCCACTCCATTCGAAATACCCAATTCATCAAAGGTGAACGGTTTACGCTTGCCTTTAATACAGTCTTTATCTTAGATGACTACGACTTGCAGTGGAATTCAGCTTCTGTATTTCCTCCTACTCTCTTCAGATGTCAGCACATTCTATTGAAACAACCTGAACTTATTTCGTTTTTTTCTCTGTCAAACTAGTTGAGTTAAAACTTGGCACATGTTTCCCCTAGGTGAGTCTTGAAATAAATATTATGCCAAAATTTTCGGGGTTTGAAGGGTGCTCACTAACATTTTTTTTCAAATCTTATTCTTAAAAACATCGCCACTTCCCGGTAATGCTATCGTGGATTCCTACTATTTGTGAATTTTGAAAATTGCAGCCTTTAAGGCAGAACCAAGAATGTAACATACATACCTAAGTAATATCTCTGGTTTTATTATTTCATTGAATTTACTCTTAAAGGTATGAAACAGTCAGTGTTCAGAGAAATTTCACCCTAACTTCTGTAATATAAACAAATGCATTCAGAAAGTTAGAAACTTCGTAGATAGTAAACTGGTCGATTCGCCGGAAAAATATGATAAGCTCCGTTAGAAGTGGAAAGATAGTGATATGGTATAATCAATGGTAACTTAAACTGACACTTGAAAATATCAGTTTTCCACATTCATCCACCAATAAACTTCCAGATGCATTTGGTGGATGATTATGTAGTTGCAGCTGCGCTTTAACATACATCATCTAGTTCACAATGTGCCTAGGTAGCAAATATTATTTACATAGTAATCGCACCATTTTAGCTCTGTCATTCATCCTCTTTATCATGATTTTAAAAAGTAACACTTAGTGTTGGTGCCACAAATTATCTTCGATAAGCTTGATAATTTTGGCTAGATGAACAGTCTCAAAAACATATATAATGTAAGAAGCGATACAGTTTACGTTGGACTGACCTGTAGCTCTTTACATTGACAGTACGATGTTGTTGAATTCAAAACAAACGGCAGAGAATAAATAACATTCTAAAATACCAGATCTTCAGGAACGCTCGACGCTCAGTTTCATGTCATATAATTTGGCCTTCAGTTATCGATTCTAGTTAATTGCTAACTAGGCTTGCGTGTTTTAGTTTCATGCTGTTTTCAGCAATTTTTAATACTACCTTTACATCATTTCCACTTATAACAACTAGCATTATCTACAAAATTCACATCTCATTACATTTTTGAATATTTAAATTTTAACTGTGTATGAAACAATTATAAACGCTCGAGTGGCTATCATTCATACAAGCGTTATCAGAAGTTAAATTAATCCGCAGAAAATAATCGTTTGTTCACTACTTAATCGGTATAAATCTCCGCATTGCTTCTTCACTTCACCGCTTACTAAATGAAAGGAATAAGGGTAACAGATATCAGATAATGTTGGGAACATTGCTTTTTAATCTTTAGACAATAAATAACGACTAGTGTGCCTCTTGTAGTGATGCACAATCAGACATTTTATAAGAACTCTAACTTTGTTTACTTCGAACACAAAAAAGACAAAGAAAATTCGAAGCGTTACGGCAAATATTTTTTTAGAATTACATTTCCATCAATAAACACATTTTGCGAAATCCAAACCTTTTCAAATTTTCTACACGGATTTACAACATCTTATGAAGAGAAAAGCCTATCCAAAGCATTCAGACAAGCGTTCATACCATACTTCTAGAAAATCACAATAAAACGGAAAATATTTTGCACAAAAAATCGCCAAATATGTACCAGGAACAGGAGATAAAATCAATAAAAAAAAGAACTGGAAAAAATAAATAAACAGTGAACGCCAAATCAGCCATGTAGATAAAAATGAAATCAAGACATTTTGATATGAGCTGTATGTATTACTTCCAAAAGGACAAATGAATTAACCATCGATTCTTTCACAGTTCAAAGTTAGGTTCTTAAGGCTGATTTCGAGAATTTATTATCAGTTTAACGAAAAGTTAGAAATTACAATAGGAACTTAATGTGTATTTACATTGGTATATGTACATAGAGAAGAAATATCATGTAAAATAGGTCTATATACACATTCTTTTATATGACAAGGTACTTTTGAAATATATGACGAGCCATGGAGGGATTACCATTCGATTTATAAATTAGCGCCAAATTGAAAGCAGCTTCTCTGTGCAGATTCGTAAACTAGAGAATAAAAAGCAAAAACATGAGAGTGATGGAAAAGAACAACTTGCGATTGAATGATGTCCAATACCAATGAAGAGATCAACAATGTAAAATCAAAGTAGGAAAAGAACATTCAAGCGAAGTTATTATATGCTGAATTCTTGATAAAAGTGATACATTTTCGAAAAATGTAATTATAAAAGGACCACAAGTAAACATGAATAATAAAAAATAACATTTATTTCTTACTTGTAAGTGTCAATTGTTACAACGATTGACTCCTAACACTCTAAGTCAAAGTGTTATATCTATTATACCGCATTTAGTTTACTACTAATTACGCTGTCTGAACATAGCTATTGGTTTGACAAAAAAATATGGAATATTACACTACAGGATGATATTTTTCAACACATTTAAGACAGTTAATCAATAACGCTGTTACCGTAGTCAAGATAAACTCAACTACTCTTTCATGGGATGTATCGTAACTACGAATGGGCATAGCCGGAAAACCAGTGTACACTGAAGGTCATCCGAGATTCTTCAAATGACACTAAGATACTTCCGAACTCTCAAAATTCAATTCTATGAAACTATAACACAAAAAATAGGTCTGGGCAAAAATGACTAAAAATACAGTTTATTATATATCTGAGAAAATTCGAATCGATCAAGAGAAATTGTGATAGAAAGTGTGGTCGTATACATTCCTCTAACTAATTTTTTAGAAGTAGAAAGACTTACTTTCAAAATTAACACCATATTGGGTAAACTTTTAGCTACAATTTAGAAGATAACATCCTGAAATACATGTATGCTTGCCTTGAAATTAATCATTTAATAAACTTATGTTACACTTTGAAACAACACGTTAAACAAAGTAGTTGAACTCAGATTGTTTAGGAAAATTTCCAATGGATACAACGAGTAATAAGAAGAAACTGGATAAACAAATACCTACAATACAACACTCATAGAAAGGAATAAAAAAAACAATAACAACACACAAATAACTTACAGATCTCTCTTCTTGAGTTTTTCCAACAGGTTTCATGGCAAGAACTTTCTCATAGTAGTGAATGGCCACATGGGTAATGACTTTAAGATTAATAAAAACATGTATATTCAGTTATAGAGTCTTACAGTGTAAAGTATGATAGAGAAAGGTAAAATTATTTAATATTTAGAGGCACAGACAACGTTAATGAGTCGAACAGATTAGTCTAGCCGTTCTTTTCATGAACTCAGTTATGTAAACATAAAAGAATGATATTGCGTAGGCATAAAAAAATTAGTAGAACAGTCAAATTTAACCAAATTTAGCCTTTAAAGAGTCCACGTCACAATTGGACAATTGAAACTGATCACGTTGCAGCATGCAATGAAGGACAGTTTTTACTAATAGTAATGATATAATAAAAAAGCTTTATTTCGGACAATATGTCAGCACATCGCATAGAAACTTTCAAAGTAATTTCCTGAAAAATACTTCCTTTTTGTAAAAGAACTACAAGTGAAATCTATAAAGATATCATATGACGCAGTGCTGTTCGATGTGAACGAAGATTCGGTTGTCTACGTGGTTCTCTTTCATCGACTTCCAGAACTGTACAGCATTTTGTTGAAAGCTAATTTAAAATGTGAGCGCAGTAATAACATGATTAAAACAATAAGAAATGCAGAAGCATCTAAGCATTATGATGGATGGAAATTTTGGTTACCCAGTGATCAAAGCAGGCCATCACATCCTTTGGGTTATGGCCTATTGGTGTTTAAAACAGACAATAAAGATTAATAAAGCATGATTTAATGAATTCATCAAATGTCGGTCGAACTCGTCAGCTGAATACTCTACATACACGGATATATATACTTTTGAAATTACATTGGGAGATATAAGACTGATAAGTAAAAAAATTACGTTGAATTAGTCATACAGAAAGACACGTGCGAATGTTTTCCAGGTCACGTTCAAATAGATGAGGGGAGAGAGAGTATGAGAGATCAAAATTAAGATAAATTGCATTACGCTTCAATTACATCACTTAGATAAACAATTAGTCATTAGGGAATATAACGAGAATTGCAAACAGACTAATATCAATAGTAATAGTGTTGAAGTGAGTTAAGATAATCGTACTGATAAAGCATAGTTTTAAATAAATCAAGAATAATAATAATGATAATAATAACAATAAGAAGAAGAAGAGGTGGAATATTAGTAATAACAAGTAGAGAATAATAAATAAAACGTATTACCATGGTAGATTCAGAGTCACGACCATCTCTTTTTATATACAGAGAGCTGGTGCACAAGCCTCTGCAATTCGAATTTATAAACCAGCTCAAAAGTATATATATCCGTGTATGTAGAGTATTCAGCTGACGAGTTCTACCGAAATTTGATGAATTCATTAAATCCTGCTTTATTAACCTTTATTGCTTATTTTATATTCGTATCGGGAAATAAATGTTTTCAAGCCTATTGGTGTGTTAGAAATCAATGAACTATGATCCTAGACATTACATAACGTAGTGGTCTGAAACGTCATTACTTATGGTCAGAAATCTAGATCATTGGCGTATATGACTGTTTCTATTGTTCTTCAACGTTCGAAAGTAATATAAAGAAACAAGCACTAATTTTAACGTATTTGATAAATGCCTATTGTATTCGCTGTTTCCAAATATTTTTCCCACTTTAAAGTCTTGTTCTAAAAAGATAAATACTACTTATTATTCATTCTGTGCATTCCGAGAGAAATATAGGGCTTCGCTCAAACATCACTTTGACTCCACGAATAGAAACAAGCGTTCATTTCACCTTTACATGATCTCCTCCATATCACCCTTGGAAGCTCGACTCGGTGCCTGGTATTCGAGTTCCACTAGAAGATGTGAAGTGTGATGTCAGTCAAAGTCTCTTCAGTATGCGCCCAGTCCGTCTCCATTCCTTTGTGAATATTCGCAGACTGCTAGGTTCGTGGCTAGTGCACTGCCCAGCAGAAGTACTTGTTGCTTATGCTTACCGATCGGCCGACTACCAACCGCAGGCAGTTGTTGGTGAAAGTCTATAGCCTGTTAAAAATACCTATGGTGGTGAGTGCACCATGTAGCAGTGACTTCACATAAATGTTAAAAATATGGATATTGTTTCTTGTGGTGGGTGATGTAGATCTCAAAAGTTATCTTAACTGGCCTTGATATCGTCAACCGTGCCGTCTGACTCTAGTTGATGATGCTAACGAGATAAGTGAGAAAGGTGACTTCCTTAAGATTTCTCCCGCTGATGAAGATTGGTGTTTGTTGTTGGTCGAGTATATTCACCACCTGTCTCCTCTATATTCATTGGATAATAATGTAATAATATTGTATAATTGTGACTTTCCAACATTTTATCTTGAATCCTGTTGTCATGATTCTTGCGGAGATTGATTCTCACTGCATGAGAGCCTTTGATTTAATTGGCAACATCATGGTAGCCTCACTTCCTGTGTCCTCGCGGTTGTTGTCTGGGTGTGCACATTAAACTACTGACCCACGACTTAACAATTTGGACAGTCCACTTCCATTCCATCTGTTCTCACAGACTTCTAACACTTCTTTAACATATCTCATTTCTTCTGCACTCTGGGGAACCTTGCCAGACTCAGAAATGATGCGGACATTTCATACCTGTATACTTATTTTCATTTCCATCGGAAGACGCATAATTTCACTGGCTTTTAGAAGGCTTCCATCTGCCGACATCATCAATTGCCTGGTTTGAAAGGCTTTTTCCGAAATCGTCAGAGAATAAGCTTATGGTTTTTGTGCTTTAAAGTTAGAGTGGCGATGGATGGTAACACTAGCCACACGTTCAACGCTCCGTTTTTACTGAGTCTAGTAAATTAAACCAGGTTGACAAAATACAACATATGCCTTTGATTTATTCGTAAATGCAGTAACTGACAGTCAGAAAGTCACAACAACGAAAATGGAGTTTTAAGCAACTCACATAATAAGGACTGATCATATACACATAGACATAGACCACAAAATAAATTTTATGACAGGACACTTGTAAATAATTATACTGATATAATGGTGAACTCACGGAGTTGATGACAAGCACGCGCTATATTATAATATACCTCTTGACAGTTACCACGCAAACGTTTGTACTCCCCGAGAAATCCGATGGCCTTAATGTTAGTGGAAAGCGAATAAACAATATTATTGTCAAAAAACAATAGACATTTTAAGTAGTATAGTGGGAAAAGAACATGGAATGAGAAACGGTTATGAAGCGATGTAAACATGGACACAATAAGTGATTAGTACTGCTTATTGACCAAAAGTAAAATCCCGAACTTGATACAATGGTAGCAATTGTGTCTGCAAAGTCGTCTACCGTATGTCAACTAAGCTTAATTTTACTTCAAGAGTTCGGCTACTGCATATTGCTGAGGCTGTTGGAATCTATATTAAGAAGCTTAATTTATGTGTTCAAAAGAATTCGGTCTAAGCGCTTTCCTTACCTTGATCGTCAGGGTTTTAATAATCAATTTGTTGCAGAAATTTCCTTAATTTTATTTGATATTCTACTTACTATTACATTTTCATGCTCATTATGACTTATGCATCCTTCTTGAGTTGTAATTTCATTGGTGCTAAGAAATTGATAACATTTACGAAACACCAATATTGTTGATGACGATTATTCTGGAATATTCAGTGTATATTGACAACTATATATATATATATAATTCAATCAACGTTAAATTAAAAAAAGAGCACAAACCAGTGTTGCTTTGTGCATTTTTTAAACTTTTTTCATTATTTTGTTACTTTACATTCCCAGTGGAACACAGGATTTCAAGCTAGAGCTTTTAAGTGTCGGTAGCCGTGGTATTTATTTTAACGAGATGGGGTTACCAGCCTTATGACCAACCGTCCCACTTTAACAGTCTTATTACTAGCTTAGCGAGGTAAATGAGTGCGTCGGCAAGGGAATGAACCCCTAACCACTTGTGCGATTGGCGAGCATTCTACTGCTGTGCCACCGACGCACTTTAAACATCCATTAATGCAAAACCAATAATGATGTCTTAGTTTGACGACAGAAGACAAGTGCTAGGCAATAGATCGTTTATTGAGATCGGGGAAGCAACATCTTCTCCTTGGGTATTTTTCTCGCTGAAGGTTATTCTGCTATCTCTTTGTGGCCGTTTCCCAAAAAATCAAGCAGTATATCTGTGAATCATATTGCCACACTTTAGCTCCGCTGTGATTGGCTGGTGATTTTCTCAAGGTTAAGCTTTGTTATTGTTCTTCTCATGACCTTGATTCGGGACGTGAACATTGACGTAAATTGTTATCTACAATTTCGGCTTGCAGACAGCTCTCATCACGCTAGTTGAATATGAGTTGATTTCTTAGTTACATCAGTTTTCTTTCTTGCATTTTCTAGACAATTTACTGGATCATTCCCTGTACAAGAGACCGAGTATATTTTGTTGAAATATACACAAAATACTCACCTGTAAAATAGCAAGATGTCGAGAACCAATATGTTTCTGCATTGACATACTTAGAAAGCCGACAGCCAATAGTAAAGCGAGCAGTGCATCGTCGGGAAATTTTTCCCTCATATTGATCAATCGAGCTATTAATGTGAAAAAGAGTGATTCAGTATTCAATTAAGTCACAAGATAAGAATCCTGTTTAGCGCATGAAAACAAAACTAAGTGACTAAATTTCGACAGAACTACACACCCGATTTATTAGTAATTTCTCAATGTACAATGAGAACTAAACCAGGAATTTGTAAAACAGTAAAAGTATGAAGCTTTCACATTTGAGAAAACCTTACCACGAATTAGTCCAATGAGTTAGGAGTGTTGTTATATGGAAACGCATTAGGTTGTTTGAAAATTCACAGAAGAGATAACAATAATGGCCTTTAAGAACACTTGGTGCCGTCAAAAATCGAACATCGAGACTCACACAGAAAAATACATAGTTTAAATAACAAATAAATCGCTCTGCTTAAGTAGCGGATTTCCTGACTCAGTAGATGAATGACGGATATTAATTCTGAGTCTAGCTGGAGCGATCGTGAAGCTTAAGTGTTTCAATAAGGACAAAGTGCGTCTGTGGTATAGTGGTTAGGACACTCGCCGACCATGCATATGGTCCGGGGTTTGATCTCCGGCCGGCGCACTCCTTTACCTCACTGAGCCAGAAATAATGCTGGTAAAGAGGAACGGTTGGGCATGAAGTTAGCAACCCCATCCTGTAAAAATTAAACACTGCTACAGAAACTTCAAGCAATTAGCTTGGAGCCCTATGTTCCACTGGGAACGTGAAGGAAAAATTATTATTAATTAATGACAATGTTACTAAACTCTACATTCAACCAATATCCTTTACTTTCATGTTTAAAATTTTAAGTCACATTTAAAACATAATAGAAAATTCACAAGGAAATAAAGTACATACACAATAAACTACAAAGAAACCTACCAATGGCATAACGGTACGAACCACGAACCAAAGTGTCACTACTGGCTATAGTGCCGATAGCCAAATTTAAACTATCCTATAAAATACGGAAAGAAACAACTTGTAGTGACCAACACCACAGTTAAATGCAAATAATCTCAGTAAACTGTCGCATATAAGAACATATAAATTTTTTTAGTATTCAGTAGGATGTAACAGACAGACATCTAATGACATTTTATGCATATCTTTCACTATATCCCTGAAGCAGTTCGAAACAGTGTGGTGAACAAAACAGTGGAATTACTCATTCCAATATCGCTGAGATTTAGACGCATATGTTTTTCACACATAACTGCTTTTCAGTTGACCCCTACTAATTGTGGAAAGTGGGAAGTTATGACTAGCGGGGTTCACCAAGTCAGGAAAGATGATAGTTACTAGCCGACGATATTGGCTGACAGTTGTATTAAATATCGCGAATTGGTAGAATTTGGAATTTATGTGGTCTAAGAGCTCACCTTGCAACCAGAAGGTCTTAGGTTCAAACTCCAGTTGGTGCATAATGCAGAAGAGTCCCAAACTAGGGCGAAACAGACGTCCAGTACTTCATGATTTTCCAATGGTCCTCTAAAAGATGTCCACCCGTGACCAAAATTTTGATCAGACTTCATATTACCTAACAACAATACAGTTTATGGTGGTATATATATATATATATATATATATATATATATATATATATATAAACTGAACCAAACCTCATGCAGAATACAGTTATGTATGTTTTATGCCTACATGTGTCAACGTTAGTACGACAACTAAGGCAGAAAAATGATTTTTTTAAGCCATAGATAAGCCGATTATAAAAGTCGGCGGAAAGTACAGGTAATCTTCAATTTCACGATTTATTATATTTCTTCAACCAATGTGTACAACAAAAAGCTATAACTGTACTTTCCACACAACAGATATCATATTCAACTGACGTTCGAAGGTAAACACTTATCAAATGGATATGCATATTACTCATATCCCAGAACTAGTGTAGATATGTAGGCAAACTAACCTTTGTAACTAAACGATCCAAAAACCGGCAGTGCTTGAAATCTCGTGAAAGAGTGATAGCCAGATTCATTACATTCCAATACTGGTTATATTCACTCCACTAAAAACGATGAAGAGAGTTAGAATTTTAAAAAAGCAAATACAAAGGGTATATGAAACTCTATTTATTGTCATTTACACGGATACACATGTTGAAATTACTTAAAATAGTGGGATAAAGACACATCAAATCACATGTGAGAAGGGAATTCTAGATATACAACTGAATGACACGGATAATTGAGTGTGAATCCCTTCAGGCAAAAATAACTCGTTAGCAAGATACACGTAATCCAAACAGCAAACGACTTTTCAATTCAAAATTTCGGCACTACTCTTTTCTTTACACAGCACATGAAGTATTCATTCATCACAAAATGCTTGGTCTTCAAAGGTAATGGCTGTGAAATTTCACCTTAAAGTTTTGATTTTCTGAACATATAACTCTATAGTTAGTGTATCTGAATAGTTATCTGGTCAACGGAACACAGACAAAAATCCAATATACACGGCCACAATCGAGTAACACACAGCCATCACCTCAATCTGGTTGATAATCGTTATTGCTTAATGTAAGTGGTTTACACCTACTCGTACTATATAGAAATATGTTAAGTTACATTTAAAGGTAGAATAGGGGATGAGACTTTACAAAAACATACACTTGGCATGTTTTACCTTACATTTTATGCCGTAACTAATACAAATACAGTCACTAAATACATTAACAACCACCACACCATGGCAATATAACTACTACCTTATCCAACTATTAGTTGAACTTTTGACACTTATATGAGTATGGCATACAGAGGTCTAAACGACGTATTTCAAACAGTGAATTGACTTGTGTGCATGAAACATTCATAGGAGCAGCAACCGCAGTGCTAAGACCTTTTAATTCAGAACTAAGTGATACAGATTTGAGTGTTACACAGAACATAAGTCTGCTTGGAGTGATTCAATTTTAGGGTGTGAACAGTACAATGAGCCATAATTTTTCAGTTATACGTCAGAAGTATTTCTACCATTTCGGAGTCTTGTAATTTCATAAGGTCTTCAATTTAAACATTTTTGGAAAAGTTTCAGTAACCCCGTAGGAATGCTTCCACGGAATGTTTATTTCTCATAAGTATTTATGGTACTTACTACTTCCAGAACAGAACGGTTGAACACTATGCAATGGCTGATGCATCATAGAATAATTTTATTTAATGAAAACACAGCCAGTGATTCAGTATTATGTACTAATGACGTTTTGAGTACAATTTATTGTCCATAATCACATCAAAGCGATCACATATCTTTCAAACTTTGTTTATATAATTCGCTATATAGGTACTAAACACACACACACAATCACGCAATAAGTTGGGTGGGACAGATGAATTCACACCTAACGCGTGCAACGGGAATGGCACAACACCAATACTAGAGATTTAGGAAATAATACTACCGATAAAATCAAAAGAATAAGAAATAATGGATTTATATCGGCAAACTTTGGAATTTATGCAAGCGTCTTGATTTAATAATAGGTAGTATATTGTACTCGAAACGTATCATCAGTAAATAATACTGTATCATTCAATGTATTTTTATCAAATAAAATTATTCTCTAGTGGAAGTATACTATACCACAGTGCTCAAATTCTGTTCTTATATCAGCAGTTGATGCATCCTGTTTTAATTAGTCGATTTCAACAAATTTGGAGGACTTAACTTATGATTATTGGTCTAAGTGGATTAAGAGTTGATATTATGCTGACTGTCACACTATTTCTATACACATCAAGGTGAACTATCATTATTAGGATTTAAAAGATATGGATATTCTACTGATTTTCAATATTTGATTTTTCTTATTTCTCTTATTTTGCAAGTTCCTACTTTGTTGTTCTCTTCAGTCTATGAATGAATTGTTCATCTTTCATGGTACAATTACAAATTACCGTCGCTTTCAAAAGTGGTTGTAGTAGGACGCATGCCATCCATATGTTCTCATGAGAAAAGTAATTTTAGACTCTCAGCATCTTGGGAAAACAAAGGTAAGATGTATTTGTTGATTGTTTGATAATAATGCATAGATTTCAAGATTCATTTTCGTCCAGCAAAGAATGCTTATTTAAACAGCAGTTGAGAATGCAAATATGTTTGACCACTATCTCTATCAGTTCATAATTATCATTTAAATCTAACGTCTGTTAACATCTTGTTTACTAAATGAAGCTGTGATCATTATGGTATGAATGATGCTTAGACGATTAATGTTGAAATAAAATTGTACAGTCGAGTAATCAATTTGCGAAGAATGAGAATTGCTGCAGAGTAAGAGGAATGATTAAACCTAAATACAGAGAGTAAGAGTTAATCTAAAAGAGTAAACATAATTTGACTTTCTCAATAAACATATACGAATGACAAGAATTCAACTTAACTAGCAGGAAAAGATGAATAGTTAACTAAGTTATCATAAACTGGAAAAACAGACTATTAACGGCGAACGGTCCTAAATATATTCACGAAAAATTAGCTGAACTTTCGCTTTCTCGAACAAACTTAAACTGATGCTGAAAGCAGTAAGTAAGAAGAACCTTGAGCATTCTTGATAGGTATTGAGAGAAAAAACTAGGATTGCAAGAAATTCGCATCACGAACACGAACTAACAGTTTTAGAAGAATAATAGTTTTAATTCATTATTATCTACTTGACGAAATGTTGACATATCAAAAATTAATGAAGACGACTAAGTTGTAACTAACCTGTTTCTGAATTTTCCTTAATTCCAAAAATGCTGGAGTCCCATGACGCGCGATAAGTGATGAACTAATTAAAAGATGACTTGCAGCCAACCGACGTAAGTCATTTCCTTGAACATGTGGTAGTAAAGACGCCCATGCAGTAGCAGTTTCCAACTGAGGCAATGACTTCGGCAGACGAGAGCGTAATACATCAACTACGCGTAAAAATAATCCCCAAATATCTGAACTACTTATACCATTTGTTTCAGCAGTTGAACGTTCAGCATCGATTTGATCAGATAGTGTATCGGTTAATGCAGGTGCAACGGAGGCTAATCGATCTGTCACTAACTTCCGATGTTGTTCACTATCCAGAATAAGAGCGACTAACAAAATAAAAAAATTAATTGCTGTTATTTACAGAACGTAGTGAATAAAAATCATTTTGCTCAATTTAATCTAAGCCATGTACACACACAAACTCATTCAGTGTTATGTTAAACACTCAACAAAAGAAGATCATACAAGCTGGAAAATATTTTGTTTTATGAAACCCTATCAATGCCCGACTTTTAAATAAAGACTTAACAGTTACATACTCATAACACTCGTCTATTTAAAGGTTAGTAGAAAAAACACTATAGTTATCCATGAAATGATCTCTTTATAATAATAATATTTATTTTAGACAGTATGCAAAAGCATAGTACAGAAATCTTCAGAGCATTTAGTTCCCAAATATTTCCTCTTCGCTGAGGATTTGTATGTGAAGTAATAATCTGACGTATATAGTATAAAGTAGCGTTGTTACACATGAAGATAGAACCAATTCTGTAAGTATTTTCTTCATTTCCTCCAAGAGTTGAGCAGAGCTTAGTTGGAGACTAATTAAATATGAGCGCGAGTTCATGTAGTGATCATGTGATGATATAATTGCATGATTTAAACAATAAGAAATGCAGAAGTTTTTAAGCCTTTTTAATGGATGCAAATTATGATAGCTGAGTGATGTAGGCAGACCGTCATCTCTAAGTGCTTAAAATGCTAGTAAACGATACTGTGGACAATAAAATGACGCTAGTAAGAATGAGAGTAAGGTCTCGGTTACGTAAGAAAATTGTCCAAATTGATGTTAAAAACTGACTCTAATTGGCAGTAGTGACATTCGGCTAAACTGACTGGACTAGACTAAAAGATTAAACGACAAACCACGTTTCTACTTCTCCATAACCAAACTCTGGTACGTCCTAGGTCTTATTATTTTAATATCAGTTATCTAATTAACATAAATAATGAACATGTGGAACTGGAAAACAAACATATTCTTCATATGACTTAGGAAAAGGAGTAATTAATTAATAGGATACTGAAAGGTTACTTACGCTGCGTAAATCGAAGTCCGCACACACGTGTCACATCACTGAACAATAAGGTCCATGCTTCTTCTAAAAACGAATCTACAGTTTCTGGGGTATCAAGCATTCGACAACGTTCATATGCTAATCTATAGGCCACATTATCACGAGAAACAAGATTAGCCGATGCATCAAACCAGTCACTATCAAGATCAACTTTTTCAACGGAACCATTATCACTATCCACATCACCACTGGTTGAAATCTGTGGCAATTCACTTGGGGTTGGCGGCATAGGAACTGATCTCTTAGCTGGTTTCAAGGGGGATTTTTCTCTTTTCTGTACAATTAAATCACACTGTTCAGTTAAAGATATTTCAGGTTTAACGCCTTTCTGTATTAAATTCTTGGGATCTAAAAACTGTGAATATAAAAATCAAGTCAAATAGTTATTATTCACCATAAAATTACAATTCCACCATTATAGTTAAAATTTTACTTAGATTAATTGATAAAAGACACACCTTTAAAGCTTCCTGATGTCTTCCAAGGCGTCTAAGAAGATTTACAAGACCTAGACGGGCATCTGTATCTCGTGGGTTGAGGTTTTCTGTCACATGACGATAAGCTTTGATGGCAGACTCAGTTTCTCCTGCCTCTAAATAGGACTCTGCAAGCAATGTCCAAACTTGTACCATCTAAAGTAGTAGGGAAGCAAACACAAGTTAGTAAGTACCTAATAATGAAGTCAACTAGAAGAACAATAATAGCAACACAAAAATTAAAACGGAAAAAACAAGATTCAGATGAAAGGGATGAGAGATAAATGGCCACAATAACACTGACAAGCTAAGATATAGTGCTGTCACGAAACAGTCCCACAACTTACTGTTCATCAAGTGAAACGTAATGACAATAAAGGGAAAGCTATGAAAACAACCTGGTCAGAAGTTTGAAAAACAGATGACGGAACCGTGAAGTGAATAAGGAAATGTGATATTAAGTTTAAAGCGTAAATGAGTCTGCATCACTCGGGATCAATCTTAGTAAAATCATTTAGGTTCCTTATTTAATGACGTCATATGAGTCGCGAATCTTAAGCAACCGACTCAATTTTCGCTGCACAACCCACATCAGCAGCCAATAGTTCATCGGTGCGTCTACACTGAAATTAAAAAACAGCAGTGACATTGGACGTTCTGGAGGGAAATCACTGTTTGTCACCAATTCACATGAAGTTTCTCCATAAGCACTCTCATGTGTCTGCATGAATTTAAGTAGAGTGCCATGATTATCATATTAAAGTGGGCTTTCTCGTCATCAGCTTCGCAACCAAATATTGCAACTATTAAGAAATGTGATAAGTGTAGGACGGAGGTATGTCTGTATTTCAGTACGTGTGTAGGGGTACAGATTTGATCAATGCCCCCTTTCGCTGTCCTGAAACCTGCCGGGTTTTTTAGATATAGTTTTTGTCACACATAGTTAACCTTTCTTTCAAAAAAACAGGAGAATATAATTAGGTAACCAGAAATAAAATATAAAATTGAGAACATCACAGGAAGAGGATACAAGACGTATGAAAAGACGTAAAGTTACTGGAGAGCCCACTAATAATGAATTATATGCATCATCGAATTACAATTTCTCAAAGAAGATTTGCCCATACAACTCAAGCAGGAGATAATCACTGGCTTTATAGAAATACTGAAGTCATTATGTCATCAACGCTGGTTCCGCATTTTCGGCCTGAATGAATGATTTGATTCCTTTAAATTCGAAATGTTACCAAAAACCATCACCAAATCATTTAACAAAACATTTCCACGAAAATAGAAATCACTTTGAAATAAATAAATTGAATGATGCACTTAGGGTTATTTTAAGAATCAGTAGGTATTACTCTACTTAGAACCATATCTAATTGTATTAGAGAAAAGGCAAGCAAGCTGTAAAACTGTTATTGTAGCTAACAAAAATGAAGAAAATTCAAAGAATGGTGGTATTTTCTACTGATAATTATACTTTACGAAGAGCACAGATTTAGTTGAAGTGCTAAATTATAGTAATGAAATTCAGTTCACCATCATAATTATTTTGGATAAATCATTCGGTGTATTTAACTAACCAGTCTCAGACTGCAATAATAATAGTTCATGAATAAGCACCAGTACAATAACTGAAAGTGTTCATAAAGAAAAGTGGATTTTACCAATGACTGAAGCAAAATAGTACTAGTTAGTGGTTTCGTACATGTTTCTATCCATAAATAAAAGGAGAATTATACATGTCAACGTCAGTTGTCTTTCATTGTCTACTTGGTTGATTAAGCTCCTCAAATATTTGACATACCTACTTTGTGTTATTTCTAAGAATTTCACACCAACTAGTAATAATAGCACACTGATTACCTACCAAATACAGGGTAAGCAGTAGAATAGCAGAGTATCAAGAAATAAAAAACAGGCGAAATAACAGATCCCTTTCATAATCTTCGATATGAGTGGAAAACAGTTCATCAGCCCTGAGCAAACTACTAAGCTTGAATTTATAGTCAAGAAACACAGTTAAATTGATACATAAATGAAAAACAACTTTCTTTAATTTGGGGAAATTTATGCCAAATGGTTTGAAAATAATTTGAGCATCATCCCCAAACTAAAATGTAAATCAACTGATCAACCATATGCAGTGAAAATTTTAAGAAGTAAAAATTCAATCATTTAATTTTCTGAGAAAACAAAACAAGACGGAAACAGAAACTCAAACCTTGCTTAAAGTACAAACTCCAGTACTACGGAAAGACCAAAAATCAACAAAAAGGGTGGGTGTACTGTGTAGCAGTGCGCCATACCCTCCTTTATTGCTGAGACATAGACCTTCGAAATAGGAAATATAGAGAGGCTAGTTGTCTTTGACTACAAATGTCTGCATCAAGTTTAGCGTGTTAGCTATTATAGTATGATCAGTAGTAACAAGGTAAGGAAGAATATTCAGGTAGTCATAGATACAGCTGTAGAAGCTGTGAATAAGATAAATCCAAAGGTGAGTAAAAACCACTGGATCTCCACTGCCTCATCCGAGCTGACCGATTCTAGAAGACTTATTCCATCGAGGTCCAAATTCAATGAGGAGCGAAAGCTGCACAAGAGGAAACTTACGAAAAGTCTCCGCAAGGACCGTGAACAGTGGTGGGTGACAAAAGCCAAAGAGATGGAAAAGGTATTTGCGATTGGCAACACCAGACAACTATTTAGACTCATCAGGGAAACAGGTGGCAAAAGGTAAATGGTAAGTGAAACAATCTCGGAAACAAATGGCACTATAACTAGCTCCCAGGATAGACGACTGGATCGTTGGAAAGAGCATTATGAGGAGCAGTTTAATTGGCCCACAGCCACGCCCAAACTGCCCTACATCCAACACCTCCCTGAATGGGATATAGACAAACGTCCTCCGTCCCTAACTGAGGTTACAAAAGCTATCAACTAATCTCAAACAAGGTAAAGCAGCGGGACCTGATGGAATGACTCCAGAGATATTTAAGTACGATGGAGACAGCTAACTGTCTGCATTAACTGAGGTACTAGGCAGCGTCTGGGAATCAGAGGAAGTCCCATCGGGTTGGTGTAAGTCACTGATTATCCCCATATACAAGAAGGGAGACAAGTCTTCCTGTGATAATCACAGAGGGATTAGCTTGACTAATATAGTATCTAAAGTCTTAGGCTCAATAATCATGCGTAGACTAAGTGTGCTCGGGAGGAACAAACACGAGAGAACTAGCCAGACAGGCTTTAGACCAGGAAGAGGGTGTTTTGATCATATCTTCACCCTCCGACAGATTCTAGAACATAGGAATTCCTACCGGCGTCCAACGATCATTATATTTCTTGACCTAAAGGCGGCCGTCATTCGATTCTGTCAACCGAGAGGTTCTCTGGCGATGCTTGGCTGTAAAGGCGATCCCGAGAAAATGCATTGCACTGATCAAGGAACTCACTCTACTCGAACTCATGCAGACAGGTGAGGGCTTACGGCGAGCTGTCGTCTGAACTGGTGACGACCAGTGGTGTCCGTCAAGGATGCCCATTATCCCCTTTTCTATTCAACTTCATCATAGATGTGTTAATGGACTTAACCCTAGGGGACTTCAGCGATTCAGGGATTGACTTGCTACCAGGGAATAATCTCGTTGACTTAGAATATGCAGACGATATAGTCCTTCTAGGCGAGGACGCCGACGAAATGCAGAGTCTTCTAAACACCTTGAGCTGCAATCTACGAAGGTTTGGCATGCAATTCGCTCCCGCCAAATGTTAGATGATGTTACAGGACTGGACTACACTGACTCCTAGATTAGAAATAGGAAGTGAAGTGGTAGAGCACGTTGACCGCTTCACTTATTTGGGAAGTACCATCGGCCAATGCCAACGGGTTGATCTCTGACGAAATCTCAGTACGGATACAGAGGGCTAGTTTCACATATGTCAGTTTACGCTGTCTCTGGCGTAAACGTGATATCCGGATATCGACAAAAGGGTGGGTGTACTGCTCATCAGTCTGCTCCGTCCTCCTTTATACCTGTGAGACCTGGCCATTGAGAGTGGAAGACATGAAAAGATTAGCTGTCTTTGATCATAGGTGCCTGTGTACTATCTCCCGTGTGAAGTGGCATAATAAGGTGAGCAATATTGAGGTCAGGCATCGGTCGAGTGCTAGGTAAGGAGGGGAAATCAATCGAAGAGGTTGTGAAGTTACATCGACTGAGATGGTTAGGACATGTGTTGTTACGTATGCCTAGTCATCGCCTTCCTCGACAACATGCAATGTTAACTGATATAGGTTCAGGCTGGAAAAGAGCTAGCGGAGGTCAAACAAAAACGTGGCACCAGTCAATGAAATCTACAACAGGTGTAGACTTCCTGACTGGTTCGGGTCCTCGGAACGGTAAAAACCGATGGTTGGAAACAATTGGTGACATGGCTCAAAATCGTTCTCAATGGCTGGTGCAGATTCATCCACTCCTGGTGACTTATGATTTCCAATGAAACTGTTTTGTTCTTCGTTATTACTCTTCCTTTGTCTCACACCTCTGTTTACTGTCTCTATTATGCTTTTCTTGTACTTTCTTCTCTCGGTTTGTGTGCTACATGGAGTGTGGCGACTTGAAATGGTGCACATATGTGCAAAGTTCTATGTCGAAAATACACAGACAGACAGACAACAAGGTAAGGCATACAGTGTCAGGTGAGGTTGTGAAGTTGTATCGATTGAGACGCCTAGAACATGTGTTACGCATGCTTTTCTCAACAAGTAACGTTAGGTGATATAGAAGTGGGTTGGTAAAAGGTCAAGGGTGGTCGGACCGAAACACAGCACCAGTACATGGATGCCTTGCATGTTGATTTGAGCTATGTGAGGAAGTATAGACTACCTGACTAAGGTTTTCAAGACATGGCTTAAAATCGCTCTCATTAGTGGAAATATATTCACCTCTTCTGATTTCCTAAATTTATTAAATCATCATTCTCTGTGGCTCTATTCTTCATCGGACATATTTCAGTTTATAGTACTTTATTCAGATTTTTTCCTCCACCTTTATATGTGCTTTTATGAAGTAAAACGACTTGAACAACTTCTGAAAAATTCTATGTTTAAAACCAGTTGGCATGAGTGAAGGAAAGAAATAAAGAATAGTAAAGTATTAAAAATTTTTTAGAAAGAAGCAATTATAGCTGAAATATCGGAACACATAGCATAGATCTTTCAAGCAAACATTTTAAAAACATGAAATAATCTACACAGAAAGCCTACCCTTGACCAAGTCTTTAATATTTCTGTTGAAGGGGAAATTAATACCTTCTGGTTATTCTAATGCGCATTTTTACTAATTGAGTACATTTTAGGGACATACATAGGTAAGCATATTGTGCATTTTTACGGAATATCTTCGATAAGCATGTAACGTTAGATTACAATATAATTTTGCGAACAATAAACCACTCTAGTTTAACCAACATAATTCTAAAAAATAAAGATATACTATTCAACCAGTGTTTATCTCACACCTTTATATTAGAAGAAAACAATTAGTAAAGGGACACAGCTTACCTTACAGGTAACATTTGATTTTGTTAGCCTTAGTAATAACGGAATTGCTATAGTGTGCAAATTCTTTTCTTTATACGCTATAACTATGTCTAACAGCCAGCTGGAATATTTCGATATATTTTCATTTGTATATACGAGTGCAATGCAAGACTAAACAAAAAGAAAATATAGACACCACATTACAATAAGGAGGTGAGAATTCAAATATAAGCTTTCATACTGAATAATGATTGTCAAGGTATTACTGTAAAACATCAATCAGTAAACATGTGTTTCATTCTCGTTAATATATATATATATATATATATCTTACTATTTTTCTAAGGACAGAAGTCTAGTTCTTTTAATAAATCGAGATAAGTTTCCTGCAGATACAATGAGATTTTAATGTGTAACACTATATACTTACTTTACTTTACTTCGGCTATCTCCTACGGGAGGATGAGCCGGCTTCATGAACATCTCGAATCATCGCTGCCCAGGCGCGGCGATCTGATGCAAGATTTTGCGACAGGGTTATCCAATTCTTGTTCCACAGACGGAGTCCGTAGACGGTTTGTAGCCCCAGGCACTCCATATCAGCCTTGACTGTACCAAGCCATGTTTTCAGCTGTCCACCCCTGCAACATCGCCAAGATGGAAATGGCGAGGGATTTAGAACTGATTTGACCAGATCGTCATCTGGTCGGCACAGAACATGGCCAAACCACCGACGTTGTTGGACCAGTACTGGAGTTTGGTTGATGTTGTAGAGAGTTCATGAAGCTTCATGGGAATTAGGTACGAGTGATGTCCCCAGGATCGCTCGGCCTTTTGTTTGAGAGTGCAGCTCTAGCCTTTACACAACCAAGTGTGACCTATAAGGCAGTAGGAGTGGAGTAGGGAGTCCACTATCCATTGGTAGCCGGTGACCGGAGTCCTGTTCATACGCCTTTTCGAATGGGGCCAGACATCCAGGACATCCAATAAGCCTTTTGTCCATACGTCTGCCGGTGAGCTCCGGTGAGCTTCATACTCCAGTCGTTGGAGGTTTGGAATCAGGGTTTGGCCATCTCCCCTAGACTGTCATCCAATGGACAGTCAACCCGGTGAAGAGCGTCAGGCATCCGCTTTTACCCTCTCACTTCGGTGAAAAACACCTCCGCCACGTGAAGGCAGTGAGTAGGACTTCCTCAGGAGAGGCTATATAAGACGCCCGGTCATGTGGGAGCATTCCAAGAGGTGTACGGAGGGGTGGCCAACCCGCAGCGCAAGGCACCCACCCCCGACCATCCTGAGGCTTTGGAGGCTAACACTATATGGGTGTGTGTCTGTGTTTTGTCCTTTACCAAATGACCCCACATCAGAAACAAATTGACTTAAAATAAGCAGATATAACTAAATATAAGAATACAACCTGTTCACTGTGGTAGAGTATAATCCCAGTGTAAAATTTATTTTGATCAAGTTTCACAGTTTTATGCAGCAATATTTATACATGACATTTTGAGCACAATTCATTGCTCATAATCATATCAAAATAATCACAACTTTCTAACTTCATTTGTATAATTCCAATATTTCTCATCGCTTGATTTCATTGGTAGTAGTATTTTCCACATTTCCGGTATGAGTGATGAGTCATTCCTATTGCGCTTGTTGGGTGTAGACTCGATGAACAAGGATTCAGTAATCAACCTCTCTCCATCTACCTATATTACTCCTTAAAATTTTAACCCTCTCCCACCCTATTGTGTGGTTGTGTTAATGCATGCAGTGCAACTGCTGAGCTTTTTTCTAAATTACTTATCTTTTCGGGGTCAACCATTCTTACCTTAGCTAAATTCTTATATTCCGACAATCTGACTACCCCTGACCTACTAGATTGACATATGTAGTTGACCTAACTCACAGTCATTGCAAGGTGGAGTATAACTGTTTTACTAGAAAAACAGAATATATATGTTACTATATATAATACAGAGAATAATGAAGAATTAAATGAAAATCTGAATAAAGTAAGCGACTTGCAATAATATACATGAACTCACCTCGACTAAAGTACCAAGACCAAGATGTGCAAGAACGAGAAATAACTTCAACTTTAACTCCATTGAAATTTTATCATGTAGATGAAATCTAAAGGCAGAAATTGTATTTCGTGTAAAAGAACAATAATCAACTTACTTGTCAAAATTATCAACAGATGTCAGCTTAGATGAATGTTTGTTCATGTCAAATAATTCTCCAGACTTTAAATACAACTTAACACCGCAGAAATTAGTGAAAAACTGTAATTTGAAATAGAACAAAAAAACAAATGAAACTTCAGATTCAGTTTTATAATACTCAAAATCACCTCACGTGCATACAGTGATTCACCAATACAAAATAAGCTTTACTGATAATTTCATTCACGAACAAACAGCAAAGAGATTACGTGAATTCAGAAACTTGCACAAAAAGGCGCCATTTGGAGTTTCCGAACTTTAAAACAGAACATAAAAAAGTGAGCTGAAGTTAAATGATAATACATTAGTAAGGAGAGAATGTAGACAATAATAATAATATACAGATTAGTAATAAACAGTGCAGAGATCGGTGCTATTATGAATGATTTTAAAACACACCAATAAAGTATATTCAAACGTGTAGACGAGATAACCTGCATTTCTTTACACGACTCAGACCGAAATTAATTATGTCGTACTATGTCTTTGGCCAAAGTTGAACTATCAAAATATGACAGACACCACCTTATGCGAATCAGTTACTAAATATTAGTCGACCGAATGTACATAAGAATATATCGATAACATTGTGTAACGCAATCACTAGGCTTTGTGACACAACAGTGGCTTGCACTGTAATCTGCCCCGACCGAAAGCTGCTATCTTGACGTGGTGGTCGGGCTTGAACACCGCAATGATCTATTCAAGCTATACTGGCTGAGACTTATGTCTCTTGAGGTCCTACCATGCCAGGCAGGTTGTTTGGATAGCGGTTAAACAAAAAGCAGCTACCCAATCCAACATCATGTCCAATACAAAATTACAAAATTTCATGCCGGATCGGCCGTGGCCCGGATTAACAACGACCGCGCTTCCTGCTGCCGTGTCACAGGGCAGGAGTGATAAATATGCTACTGAGGCACACCAAACAAAAGAGAACGAACAAAAACAGGCCGCGTGTGACCGGCCTCAAGCAGTTGTCCCCTGGGCTCTGCGGTCACGCAACCAACTTCCACGGTGTGGGCAGCCGGGAAGTAACAATCGCCCTCACAATCCGAAATGCACACGAAACCTCTCTATTACTCACTCATCTTTGTCTTCATCTTCATCTCTATCATCTTGCCTTCCTTCCACTGATGCAACTCCTCGACTTGATAGCTCTCCACTTCCTCTCCACTCTGCGTCCACTAAAAACGATGGAAGCCAAAAAACCACCACCGACAGCCTCTTAAAGCCGCGCCACCAATTTCATATAGGAGCTCTTAATGTTAGGACACTTTGCCAAATAGGACAACAAGCATCACTAGCCAAGACCCTGGCATCACGAGCCATTGATGTATGCTGTGTTTCAGAAACACGCATACAAGACCCAAGTGTGGTTATTCACCTAACCCCACCTGGCCAACAGGTTGAATCTGCAAAATTCACCTTGAGGGTGTCAGGAGATGCCACAGCTAGTTCACGAGGATTAGCTGGCGTAGGGATAGCTTTGAGTACTAGGGCAGAAAAGACATTGCTTGACTGGATCCCGGTAGATAGCCGAATGTGTGCTGTCCGCCTGAACGGATCAGTAAGAAGGAGAAAGGACTGCACTACTCGCCGATGCCTTTTCGTAATCTCCGCCTACGCCCCCACTGACTGCAGTTCAGATGAAACGAAGGATGAGTTCTACCAAAAGCTGTCTAGTTTGGTGCGAAAGGCTAAACGCTCAGACATAGTCGTTCTAGCTGGTGACTTTAACGCTCAAGTAGGGAAATTGTGTCAATCTGAGAAGGATGTCGGTGGCACCTATGGAGTTCCGTGCCAGCGAACCGACAACGGTGACCGTCTCCTACAGTTCTGCTCTGATAATCATTTGTTTCTTGTAAGCACTAACTTTAAACACAAGGAGAGACACTGTTTGACTTGGAGACCCCCTTCATCAAACCAACGCTGGACACAAATAGACCACATAGCAATAAGCTATCGTTGGCGTGGGTCGGTAGGAGATTGTCGCTCCTTCTGGAACACGTGCGTAGATACCGACCATGCACTGGTCCGCGCTCGGGTGTGCTTACGACTGAACGGACGTAGGAAACAGCTGGCGGTAAAACCATCACGTCCCCAGCTCGATCAGGAAACTAAATCCGTATTTGAGGAAGAACTAGCTAAACACATATCTGTGTTCGACAGCTGTGCTCACCCTGAAGAAGCTTGGAAAAATATCCAGGCAGCCATAGATACAGCTGTAAAAGCTGTGAATAAGGTAAACCCAAAGGTGAGTAAAAACCACTGGATCTCCACCGCCTCATCCGAACTGATAGATGCTAGAAGACTTATTCCGGCGAGCTCCGAATTCAATGAGGAGCGAAAGCTGCACAAGAGGAAACTTACGAAAAGTCTCCGCAAGGACCGTGAACAGTGGTGGGCGACAAAAGCCAAAGAGATGGAGAAAGCTTTTGCGATAGGCAACACCAGGCAACTCTTTAGACTCATCAGGGAAACGGGTGGGAGAAGACAAATCATAAGTGAGACAATCTCGGAAAAAAATGGCACTATAATTAGCTCCCAGGATAGACGACTGGATCGTTGGAAAGAGCATTATGAGGAGCAGTTTAATTTGCCCACAGCCACGCTCAACCTTCCGAGCATCCAACACCTCCCTGAATGGGATATAGACACAGGTCCTCCGTCACTAACTGAGGTTACTAAAGCTGTCACCAATCTGAAACTAGGCAAAGCAGCGGGACCTGATGGAATGACTCCAGAGGTATTTAAGTACGGTGGAGACAGCTTACTGTCTGCATTAACTGAGGTACTAGGCAGCGTCTGGGAATCAGAAGAAGTCCCATCGGGTTGGTGTAAGTCACTGATTATCCCCATATACAAGAAGGGAGACAAGTCTTCCTGTGATAATCACAGAGGGATTAGCTTGACTAATATAGTATCTAAAGTCTTAGGCTCAATAATCATGCGTAGACTGAGTGGTGCTCGGGAGGAACAAACACGAGAGAGCCAGGCAGGCTTTAGACCAGGAAGAGGGTGTATTGATCATATCTTCACCCTCCGACAGATTCTAGAACATAGGAATTCCTACCGGCGTCCAACAGTCATTATATTTCTTGACCTAAAGGCAGCATTCGACTCTGTCGATCGAGAAGTTCTCTGGAGATGCTTGGCTGTAAAGGGAATTCCGAGAAAATATATTGCACTGATTAAGGCACTCTACTCGTACTCATACAGCCAGGTGAGGGCTTACGGCGAGCTGTCATCTGAACTGATGACGACCAGTGGTGTCCGTCAAGGATGCCCATTATCCCCTTTTCTATTCAACTTCATCATAGATGTGTTAATGGACTTAACCCTAGGTGACTTCAGCGACTCAGGGATTGACTTGCTACCGGGAATAATCTCGTTGACTTGGAATATGCAGACGATATAGTCCTTCTAGGCGAAGACGCTGACGAAATGCAGAGTCTTCTAAACACCTTGAGCCGCAATCTACGAATGTTTGGCATGCGATTCGCTCCCGCCAAATGCAAGATGATGTTACAGGACTGGACTACATCGACTCCTAGTTTAAAAATAGGAAGTGAAGTGGTAGAGCACGTTGACCGCTTCACTTATTTGGGAAGTACCATCAACCCCAACGGGTTGATCTCTGACGAAATCTCAGCACGAATACAGGGGGCTCGTTTCGCATTTGCCAGTTTACGCCGACTCTGGCGTAGACGAGATGTTCGACTATCGACCAAAGGGCGGGTGTACTGCTCATCAGTCCGCTCCGTCCTCCTTTATGGTTGTGAGACCTGGCCACTGAGAGTGGAAGACATGAAAAGACTAGCTGTCTTTGATCATAGGTGCCTGCGTCCTATTTCCCGTGTAAAGTAGTATAATAAGGTGAGCAATATTTAGGTTAGGCGTCGAGTTCTAGGTAAGGAGGGGAAATCAATCGACGAAGTCGTGAAATTACACCGACTGAGATGGTTAGGACATGTGTTACGTATGCCAAGCCATCGCCTCCCTCGACGAGCAATGTTAGCGGATATAGGGTCAGGCTGGAAAAAAGCTAGCGGTGGTCAAACAAAAACTTGGCACCAGTCAATGAAATCCACAACAGTTGGTCTAAGCCACGTAGGAAGGTGTAGACTTCCTGACTGGTGGGGAACTCGGGACGGTAAAAACCAATGGTTGGAAACAATTGGTGACATGGCTCAAAATCGTTCTCAATGGCGCAGATGCATCCACTCCTGGTGACTTATGATTTCCAATGAAACTGTTTTGTTTTTCTTTATTACTCCTTTGTCTCACACCTTTGCTCACTGTTTCGATTATGCTTTTCTTGTACTTTCTTCTCTTGATTTGTGTGCTACATGGAGTGTGGCGACTTGAACTGGTGCACATATGTGCAAAGTTCTATGTCGAAAATAGACAGACAAACAGACTGTAATCTGCAGTTATACTATCAACAATCCACGTAACTTAACAAATTGTCCTTTATCGTTGAAAAATCATGTATTCAAGTGATGTCAATGGATATTTCATTGATTGCAGTTGGAAAACTGACAGGAATCAGTAATACTCTTTGCTTAACTCAGCTGGATGGGGATATATACTTAACTAGGTCGGAGGTGTCCTTCTAGCTTGTTTTTTTTTTCTCAGTAAACATATTTTTCACTGAAAGAGAAGTGTACTGATTAGGCGGTATGGGATTCCTTCATAAGGTTAAGGTTAATATTTGGCTGGATAACTTTACAACACATTCAGAGACTTATTTAAGATGACATCATACCTTTTCGATAATATTTAGAAACTCCTTCTGAAGTCCCAAACTATGATTAAATAGCTGTCAAGTACTCCCAGGCTTTCCAATGGTCCTCTAACCGATGTCAGCTCATGATGAAATTCTCCAACCAATCAAACAAAATCTCTACAAACCAATACTTGAAAATACAGAAAATTAGCCTAAGACATTATAGCTGTTATTCATAACTAGTTACTACGGGAAGTTCAGCATCATTCTACAAAAGTTGTACAGTAAGTTACAGAGAATTAAGACGTAAAATAACAATTCTGTTACTAATCAGCATACCTTAAGCGCGTGATCGTAGCGTTTCATTTGAAGCAAAATTGATAAAGCAGAATTTCTATCTTAAAGTAAAAACAAAACGAATGAATAGAATGAAAGGAACAAATGATATAGTAGCATTACACAGGTATAAAAAAGTAACTGTATATTCATCTGTAAGAGTTTACTGTATGATGTCTGATGCTTAATTTAATACCTTTTGTCTGAAACATGTATCAGTTACACTTTTTGTACACAAATGACTGTATATTCGATTGTTTACTCGAATCATCCTGGAACAGTTATTTGTAATCAGTAGCTGAGTAGTTTCACAGCATAAGATTTATTCATCTAAGCTTCACGGATGGTTATTATCCAACCAGAGTACGTAGGATTTATCATGTTAGCAAAACATTTTGCAACATGCCTAACTCCACATCATCCAGGCATGCTTGAATGAACAACAAATTTTCAATACGGGAAAATGTGATGCGAACTGATACATACAGAGAAATAACCTAAATGTACAGTTGAACAACTGTCCAGTCCTGGTTTTAAACTGCTAAACGGTGCGTATGCATGGTCCTCAGTGGAACTGCACCCTTAACCTTAATATCAGCGTACTATGACTCAGCCACTGGATGAAAATTCAATAATTTCCGATTACTAACTTCTATCCATACTGAATGATGTTCGTACCTAATTTACAAGCAGATTGGTGTATACTCTCACTTCCTTTGTCATTTTTTTTCCTTCACGTTCCCAATGGAACATAGGGCCGCAAGCTAGTGGCTTGAAGGTTCTGTAGCAGTGTTTAATTTTAAAGGATGGTGTTGCTAGCCTCATGCCCAACCTTTCCTCTTTATCAGCATTATTTCTGGCTTAACGAGGTAAAGGAGTGAGTCAGCCGGGATCGAACCCTGGACCATGTGCATGGTCGGCGAGCGCCCTAACCTCTGTGCCACCGACGCAGTACTTTGTCATTTACTGTGAAAAAATATATAAACACATACTGGAATACAATCTTAGCAACAAGATTTGAATAAGAAACTGTAGCAGAAAAATAAGAGTAAGATCTTTAGGACACATTTAGCTTAAAAGAAAATATGACATTTATGCATACCATTATCTGTTCCATGTTTGGGATATTGCTCGAAGGCATTTTCATACGCTTTCACTGAATTGTACGGATCAAGCAGTTTGAAAAATTGCTAACAGTATAACAGAAAAATTAAAATATCACCAAACAATTAGTTTTCTATGCGGTAAGATTTCAATATCATCGATAGAACTCGAAGACTTTTTTTACACAGGAACCAAATGAACTGGAAATTTAAATCTACAATCTTTCATTTGTCATAACCAGAGAGTAAATAAATGGCACTAAACTATCGTAAAACTTAGCCTGTTTATCAAATTTATTACCTTGATCAACAGAACGAAAACAATACTGAATATTTCTATTGGATGAGAAACAAATACTGAAGACGCGCACTTTCAACATACACCCTTGCATTACTGTACGATAGAGTCCGTTGTTATATGCATTAAAATATGACACTGATTATTGTTTGGCAACTCATGTGTATAATCTTAATCATGCCTTTTACTTAGCAAAAATTTATTCCTCTTTAGTATTATTATTATTACTAATTGTAATTTGACAAACAAGTAGAAGTGACAAAATGATCTTACTTAGTCAGATTCTATTATTCATTTTAGATAAGGTTAGTCTGCCAACTGAAGTTACTTTCAATAGCATAAAAAAGCAATCAGTAGTTCTTCATATCTACTTTACGTCGGCCGGAGTTGGAACAAAAATGTTTAAAACGCTGTGACGAAGGATGGACGGTGATGCGTCTTTTAAATTGTACAGATTGTAAAAAATAGCCATTGTTTGAAACGAGGTTTTTCCAGTCATTATAGCACAACTGAGTGTTATGAATTTATGTGCATTTAACAAGAGTCTTCAGCAAGTCAGTGAACCGAACTTTCCGCAAACCAAAAATGTAACTGGCTAAGCAAGAAATCAAAAACAGATTGATATTCTGAGACTTTAAATTGTTACACAAAAGTACACCATTCATTGAGATAATTAACCCGAAAACTTACATCAGCTAATTCTCGGGCAACCTCAAACTGTTCTTCACCAGTAGGTTCCGGAGTAACTGTAAGAGCAGCTAAGCGTAACTGTAGGGCATCTCTACTTCGACCAGCGGTTTGGCACAAGTAGATCAGGCGTTGACGCAGAGATGTGTCAGCTCGATCTCTTCTAAGGGCTAAAACGACACACAACTATTAGGAATTGGAAATGGCACATATTTCAACTCATTTTGGATATGTTCAATAATAAAATCTTACCCTGGCGTGCATAGTGGATCGCCAGCGGATAATCACCAGCTTCTTCAGCCCAATCAACAAGAGTGAGCCATGTATTTTTATCGGATGGGTTCCTTTGAGCAGCTTCATACAAGAACTACAAGCAAAAGAGAAAATGTATTTAGATCAGAAATTTCAAATTCACTAATTATAATGCTACAAAATTTTGTTTTAATGTTACGATAGCATGTAGAGCAGAAAAACAGAAACCCAATCCTTCAACAAGGAAAAAAGATCAGAAGACGTATGAGTTTGTTTTACTTTGAATGCTGGTTATCCCATCCTTTGTACATCTGTCAGTAGAAATTAGCGGCCAGCAGTTTTTTTAAACTTCAAATTGATTTGAATTAAACAAGGAAACTCTTTCGATTCAAAACCATATAATCAGCTTTGGACGTAAGGATTTTACAAAATAGTAAGTTAAACTTACTTCTTTAGCTTTTTCTTGGTTCCCTCGACGGAAACTTATTTCAGCCAGAACAATATACGGTTGGGATGCCTGAGAAGCTAACAACGAAATCAAGATAAATTCATGATTTATTTAACAATAATTTCAACACCAGACATCAAGATCAGAGAAACACATCAAATGTTAAAAGTTACTTTTAATGGCATCTATTTTACAAATATAGTCTAAATATCAACGTATAATTAATTTAACCTATCCAAAAAAAAGGATCAAATCCAGTATGGTTTCTATCATAAGAGTATTGTTCAGTGAAGCATTTATCACACAGAAAAATAAACACAGTGGAAGTTTTCAACCAGAAGAAAAACAAGTCGTTTGACAAAATGCCTTCTAATCACCTATTCACCACTCAGTTATAGGGAGACGAGGTGTTTAATTACACCCACAAAACAGGACAACGTACTAATTTTTGGAATTTTACAATAAAACGACTCTCAAAATACTGAAACAACTTTTAGTACAAGGTTGGGTAGCAATTCTCGAATCAGATACGTTCAGAAAGTCACCTACTCTATTAAGGTAAGCAATACTCCTGTTTTATTCAGCAAAACAGTGATCACTACTTGCTTAACGCAAAATATGATATTTTACAACCAACTAAACTCAACGGAGAATTATAACCACCTACTTACACATCTTCACCCAAAGATAATAGGCAATTCAAGATTAACAAGTACCCTGAAACAACATATGATGTTTCCCTTTTCGGCATTATTTGCGAAATAAAACTATATGAATAGGTGAATGATCTGATTATTTTCTCCCAATGGCAGCTATGTCCCCAACAAATTCGCTTAAGTGTCTGGCAACCATCTGGTTAGTAGTTGGTACTTGCTTTTACTACATCGCCAATTGAGACACAGAATTTTTAGCAGTCTAAAACATATACAAGGGGCAACGATTACGAAACTACCAATAAAGGTATAGGAAATGAGAATCAATCAAATTTGAATATATTATTTACCCATTGTATCAGACAATTTATTTTAAAACAAGAAGCTAGCCAGGGAGCTAGCTTCTTACGAATACTCATACGAATATTCACTTACTCAGACACCATAGAAAACTATCACTAATTGGGTGTAAGATTTCCTACAGTCCTAAATGCAAATTGTCTGACAGCCAGATTGCCCTCACGAGATGACAGTTTTTTGAATCAACAGACAAGTTACTTCAACTGAAGTTCCAATGACCTTATAAACTGAAAAACGACTGACGCCCAAGCTACTAGAACAGGGAGACATAACAAATTTTTTTATATTCGTCTCCATCCATTGATTGAATATCAACAAATATTGTTACCTGTATCAATGATCTCATAACATATGCGTTCAGCATGATCGAATTCGTCATTGTTTAGATGTCTTTCAGCTTCTCCGAGATACTGTGCTAATTCAATTGGCAAGCGAGCACGCTTTGTCTACCAATGGATTATAAAAGTGAAGTGCAAATTAATTATAAAAAACAGAATTACAATAAGTGATCCTCTCGTTTTCGTCCTTTTCTTTACAGGTGTATCATAACTTTGCGGTCGTTTAGATCTCCTGAAACCTGTAACAAACAAAACAGTGAACATAACCTTTCATTGAAAGTAACTACCTAAATTCTATTTCACACTATGAGAAACAGGTAAACCGACTGAAATAATATAGGACCTTACAACCTTGTGTAACAGTCACAGATATTATACTCTGAACCAGCCAGTCGAAGTGAAATCAACTCGAGCTATAACAAAGCACTGAAAACAATAACATCGATATTAGCAAAAAATTTTAATTAAATCACAAATTGTCACTAAGTAATTCAACACAATGAGTAGGCATTCTACTTTGCACGTGGACGATGCAGAGCATACACTATACTTAAAGACACTCAATGCCAACAGAGAGCTAACAGCAACGTGAGCTGTCTCGCTAAAGACTTGAATTACAAATGAAAGACGCCAAATAGGACACACAAAGACGACTTTTGTGTGACTGAAAAAAAGTTATAATCTAAAAAAGGGTCCCTCAAATTTGATCATCGATCACTCGCGTATAGATGGGATATATTTGTATGTCTCCAGCTTCCACTACAACATCTGTCGGGTACGCTAGGTTGAGGTCACTTAAGTGATGACAGAGCTCATCCTTAATTGGGACAGTGCCGCAATACGTCAGTTTATTCGAAGAAACAATGCTTATACCATTTGTGTGTCGGTGGTACAGCGGTTAGGACTCTCACCAACCATGTACATGGTCCGGGATTCGATCCCCTGCCGACGAACACCCGATATCAATGGTTGGTCTGCAAAATTTGGGCTACCGACATCACATGCTGAAAATTCCATACTTGTAGCAAAAATACGGTGTAGAATCACGCTATAATAAAAAAAACTCCAGCTAAGTAATGCAGGTTCAGATCTGGAGCTGATTAATTAACCATATGTATATGAGCATCATAGGTCTAAAAATCACGGACTCCTCACTTCCCTAGGAGAACCCTTCATGTCCGTTCAAATAACCTTTCCAATTTGCTAGAAGAGTCACTGCGGAGTCAAGGTACTGAATCGAGCTTGTCTGCTCGAAGCTCTGAGAGCGTTGTTACACGACAGCATTTTGAGGGAAATACCAAAGTCTGTAAACCCTTACCCAAACCGGGAAACCTGACACCATGCCCAGTCTATCATTGAGTTTATTTATTTATTTTAACGCAGACAAATTTGGTACAATATGGCACCAAGACGATGCACCACACAATAATAGTAAAACAGCATAGCTTAAAAGTAAAAATATAAGTAGAAAACGGATAAAGAACTTCATCTGGAAAGAAATCGGTCATACTTAACAAGTTCAAACAGTATTCATCAACTGTCATCACGAAGGGAAGAAAGAAGAAATTGCAGCACGTTCTCCACTGATTACGATTCTTGGCCATATCCGATAACGTTTCAAGCCATCGATTCGAGCTATCTCTCGGACTCCAACAGGGAGACTTGACGCACCAACCGATGCTAATCTAGCACATACATCCTTCATCCCACGACGCCACGTTATGGATTGATCACCTCTCCGTCTTTTCCATCCCATCCCAGGGCTAGCGAACAGAGACCTGTACGGAAGCCTCTGGACGACATTCGCAGAACATGTCCAAGCCACCGAAGCCGGTGTTTCCAGATGACGACACTCAACAAATGGTGATCTCCACTGTGTTCAAATACACGCCGCCGAACCACAGAATTACTCACGAGATGATGCCATCGAACGCAAGCAATCCTGCGGAGACAGCGATGATCGAACACGCAGAGCCGCCACATATCCTCAGCTCGGAGAGGCCAGGTTTCACAGGTGTAGAGAAAAACAGCCTGCACTGAAGCATGGTATATCCAACCTTTGACAGCCAGGCTAACGTCGCGACGGTGCCAGAGGTGACTGAAGTTGATGTATGCCACCCTAGCCTTCATTATACGTTTGGAAATCTCATCGGTCACCCCTCCGCCAGTACCCCCACAACTACCCAGATACACAAACTTATCAATTATTTCAAACCGTTCACCCGCAAGAGTGAGCGCAGGTACAATCTTGTAACAGTACTTTGCACTTAGATGGCGCAAAACACATACCATACTTACAGACACTGATCGCCAACTGATTAAGTGCGATTTAATCAGCCTGCATGCTATCACACGGTAAGACGATATCATCTGCATACTCGAGGTCAAAAAGTCTATCTCCAGGAAGCAGATTTACATCACCACCACTTACGTCCTTCAGAGCTGATTCCAGAATATCACCGATGGCAAAGTAAAAGAGGAATGGGGAAATTGTACAATCCTGTCTAACCCTACTGTTGGTTGGGAACAATGATGATAGTTGGTTGCATGCCCTCACTCAACCTGAGGGGTTTCTGCATATAGGGCTTTCAAGATGTTAAAAACTCAGGTATACCCTTCTTTAATGGACAGTTCCAGAGCACAGTTCTGTCTAACGAATCGAAGGCAGCCTTAATATCAAGAAACACAACGATTGTTAGCCTGCAATACGTATGGCGGTGTTCCAAAAACTGAAGAAGGGTGAACACATGATCAGTGCATCCACGACCTGAACGAAACCCAGCCTGCTCTTCGCGAATCAATCCTTCGTCTTTTGAACAGCCTGCGGAGCAAGACAGCAGCCAATATTTTAGACGCAACTGGTAGCAGCCTGATACCCCCATGATTGTCACATGAATTACGTCGACCCTTTTTAAAGATGACTGTCTGTCTGTTTTCGACATAGAACTTTGCACAAATGTGCGGAAGTTCAAGTCGCCACATTCCGTGTAGCACGCGAAGCAAGAGAAGAAAGTACAAGAAAAGCATAATAGAAACAGTGAGCAGAGGTGTGAGACAAAGGAGTAATAAAGAAATACAAAACAGTTTTATTGAAGATCATAAGTCACAAGGAGTGGATGCATCTGCGCCACTGAGAACGGTTTTGAGCCATGTCACCAATTGTTTCCAACCATAGATTTTTACCGTCCCGAGGACCCCAGCCTGGAAGTCTACACCTTCCTACGTGGCTTAGACCAACTGTTGTGGATTTCATTGACTGATGCCAAGTTTTTGTTTGACCGCCGCTAGCTTTTTTCCAGCCTGACCCTATATCCGCTAACATTGCTCGTCGAGGGAGGCGATGGCTTGGCATACGTAACACATGTCCTAACCATCTCAGTCTTTGTAACTTCACGACTTCGTCGATTGATTTCCCCTGTTTACCTAGAACTCTACGCCTAACCTCCATGTTGCTCACCTTATTATGCCACTTTACACGGGAAATAGAACGCAGGCACCTATGATCAAAGACAGCTAGTCTTTTCATGTCTTCCACTCTCAATGGCCAGGTCTCACAACCATAAAGGAGGACGGAGCGGACTGATGAGCAGTACACCCGCCCTTTGGTCGATAGTCGAACATCTCGTCTACGCCAGAGTCGGCGTAAACTGGCAAATGCGAAACGAGCCCCTTGTATTCGTGCTGAGATTTCGTCAGAGATCAACCCGTTGGCATTGGCCGATGGTACTTCCCAAATAAGTGAAGCGGTCAACGTGCTCTACCACTTCAATTCCTATTTTTAAACTAGGCGTCGATGTAGTCCAGTCCTGTAACATCATCTTGCATTTGGCGGGAGCGACTCGCATGCCAGACATCCGTAGATTGCGGCTCAAGGTGTTTAGAAGACTCTGCATTTCGTCAGCGTCTTCGCCTAGAAGGACTATATCGTCTGCATATTCTAAGTCAACGAGATTATTCCCTGGTATCAAGTCAATCCCTGAGTCGCTGAAGTCACCTAGGGTTAAGTCCATTAGTACATCTATGATGAAGTTGAATAGAAAAGGGGATAATGGGCATCCTTGACGGACACCACTGGTCGTCACCAGTTCAGATGACAGCTCGCCGTAAGCCCTCACCTGTCTGCATGAGTTCGAGTAGAGTGAGTTCCTTGATCAGTGCAATGCATTTTCTCGGGATCGCCCTTACAGCCAAGCATCGCCAGAGAACCTCTCGGTCGACAGAATCGAATGACGGCCGCCTTTAGGTAAAGAAATATAATGATCGTTGAACGCCGGTAGGAATTCCTATGTTCTAGAATCTGTCGGAGGGTGAAGATATGATCAATACACCCTCTTCCTGATCTAAAGCCTGTCTGGCTCTCTCGTGTTTGTGCTTCCCGAGCACCACTCAGTCTACGCATGATTATTGAGCCTAAGACTTTAGATACTATATTAGTCAAGCTAATCCCTCCGTGATTATCACAGGAAAACTTGTCTCCCTTCTTGTATATGGGGATAATCAGTGACTTACACCAACCCGATGGGACTTCTTCTGATTCCCAGACGCTGCCTAGTACCTCAGTTAATGCAGACAGTAGACTGTCTCCACCGTACTTAAATACCTCTGGAGTCATTCCATCAGGTCCCGCTGCTTTGCCTAGTTTCAGATTGGTGACAGCTTTAGTAACCTCAGTTAGTGACGGAGGACCTGTGTCTATATCCCATTCAGGGAGGTGTTGGATGCTCGGAAGGTTGAGCGTGGCTGTGGGCAAATTAAAGATGAGGACGATAATGGCTTCGCCCTGCATTGACGGTACACTGTCTCCCATACCTTCCTGAGTAAACCAGTTACAGCCATTGCGAGAGTCTCGCCACCATCTTTAAAAAGAGCCAGGGGTAGATTGTCTCGGCGGGGTGCTTTATGTCGTTTTAACACTTGGAGTTCCTTACGGACCTCCGCTTCGGTCGGTTGGTCGGTACTAACCGACCAAGAAGCACTGGAGCTATTGACAGCAGATACTGAAGCTGGTGGCCAGCTAAACTGTTTCTCGAAGTGCTCTGCCCGGCGTTCCAGGCGTCTTGTCAGGCTGGCAATTAAAGTGCCATCTGCCTCACAGACCGTCTCGCTAGCACCTTGTTTCTTGCTGCTGGTGGCTTGGATGAGCTGGAACAGCTTCCGACTGTTGCCAGATGCAGCAGCTGACTCCATCCCACACGCACGTTTTGACCACCAGGCCGCACCACTCATGATCGGAGTCCTGGCATGTGCTCCAGAAGCGGCGGCATTCTTGTGTGCATCCTTGCCACCGGAAACTCAGAAATATGATCAATGAGTCCAAGCTTGATTCGCAGAGGGAGGACGCAACGTAGCGCTACGGCAATGGCTGTGCCGGAAGTTGGTGCAGGCTAAAAATAGGTCACGATCTGTGCAAAGCTGCAAAAGACGGTCCTGACCTGCAACCATGTGAGCTCCGCTGACCACCTAGATGACTCTGTTTTGAGCTTAGATGCCCAACCTATGCATTCAAGTCCCCAGCAAGCCCTACGATATCCCTGTTTCAAGAGATCCCTCAGTTGGTAGTAGAACTCATCCTTAATTGCATCTGGCTGCAATCCGTCCCACCATTCAGACAGCGAAGACAACCTAAAGAGATAAGTAAACATCAGCTAATTTCTTCAGCATCATGCGAATCGATTAATGCATGGAGGCCCTATTAAAATGACAAGAAGAGAAAAGTTCTCAAAAGTATGCTGAGTCTTCGCAGTGACTGTCAACAAAGGTGAGAAATGATAATGAAAGAAACAGAAAATGTATCAACATAAGTTAAGAACCTTCAACAATTATCAATCAAGAAAACAGCTCCAGAAAAAGCTATGATATGAGCCTATCTCAAAGAAGAATGCCAAGGAGAAATGAGTAACAGAATACGAGGACATTAATTCACTGCCAATATAACCGTTATTTCTTTTAAATAAAACTTAAAATTTACAAAAAAGCAGCTTAAATTAAAAACTCAAAAGCAGAGATCATATGACGTACGTGGAATATATTCTGGATCGTTGTTTTTACTAGAACAATCCGAGTCGCTACTCCTGAAGTATTCGTCGTCAACATTAGTAGAGTGATGCATTTCACGCATTAGTTCATCGAAAGTAATAACTCCATTCAAGTATCTTGAATAAAGAGTTTCGTCAGTAACAAGGCCATTAAGAAAAGAAGACATATATGATGAATCATCCGTCTCTAAGTTATCAACTTGACCAGGATCGAAGTCCTGCGACATTTCAAATGGTAAGAATATTCACCACAGTATACCTCAAGGTCAATGACTTCAAAGTCCTGTGCCAACTGTAGCTCACCACCATCGACATTCCATTCTTCCTTCGAACATGTTTCTACCGATTCGGACATGGAAAACTTCTATGAAAGCAAAATAAAACAATTTACACAGTAATATAAATATCGCATGAGATTTTTTGAAATAATAACTTGTAGAACTTTCAAAACAACTCACTATCCTAACGGAAAGACAGAATTTTGCTTACGAAACAAGCCACGATACGTGAACTAAGGGTTGCATTAGTATGAACTTTACAGCAACTTGGGTATCATTGACACTCAATATACGTTTTATATTACAATACATTTATACTGAATACTCAGAGATCCATAGCCATCTTTTTCTCTGAAAGTAGAGTCGCTGAAACTAAATCCCATCCGTAGACAACTTCACAGTGATAGAATATGACTATAAGCCCTCTTTTATTAGGACGTGTGATGATAGAACATACCAAATAAGTCAACTATTTGGTGGTGTGTAGCTATGGGGCAGTAGTTATAACACCTTAACTCTCCATGTATATGTAATACAGGAAACTAGCTTCATTTAAAACTATACACAGCTTTCCAATCATAAATAAAGGCTCATTGATAAAAAGCTTTCCAACGGTAGCACAGTAAAGAAATTATTGTACATTCCATGGGTTTCGACAGGAACTAGGGCTTTGCCAGAACATCTGCATTCCACTCAGATATCACTTTCAACTGGCTCTACAACCACCTACAAGCTACAATTTCATCTTCACACTATCTCCTCAGTGTCACCCTCAGATTCCAAATTCGCTGCTTCCGATTCTAGTTTCTCTGGAGTACCTACAGTGTGATGTCAATCAACGGTTTCTTCACTATATACCTGACCCGTATCCCCTTCCTTTTGTATATTTGATGAGTGACAAGGTTGTTGCTGGTTTGCTTCCTGACGGACTTACTTATTGCATATCCTTTCCAACCGGAAGGCCACCTGATCTTCAACATCGACCAAAAGTAGATGTTGGTGAAATCCTGCAACCTATTGAGATTGCCGAGTCTCTGAACCACATAGGAAAAATGGCTTGAAATCAGTATTGGAAACGCAGATCCTGTTTATTGTTGTTAGTGATGCAGATCACACTGATTCCAGAAAACTGAACGCCTGTCAGTTTATCTTTCCCGAATGGCACCTGCAAGACTTTGACCTATCCATTTGCACCATATGACTACGGCTGAAAGGAAGTCCTGTCTTTGCTGCATCTCGTATTAACTCTATTTTCGCCAGTATATCTTCGATTTTTATGGGACACATGATATTAATGGTCAGTAAAGTCCAGGACACTTGTCTCAATGCATAATAAATCTCTGTGTGAAATAACTAGCGAAAGGATCAACTCCAATCACAGTAGTAAGAGTCTTAACATACCTCATACTACAAAACACATATAATTAATCCCAGCACTACTCCCTTTGGAGTCAACCAAAGCTACGACAGTCGATTGGCGGGACAAGCTACGCAGAAGTTTACCGAAGATCAGGAACCTATACCTTACAATAAAGAAGCGAGCACAAAGGAATCAAATTGGTTTATACTAGCTCGTAAAAACAATATTGGATATTGGAATGCATGGTGGCACTCATAAGGCTGGTTTCGTAGATACATCCCTCGGTACTAGAATTCTCAGATTGCCATACGCATTGTACTCCCATGTCAAATTCTAAATATCTGTTAAAATGCCTCATTAGATCTAAAATATGTGCATGTTGTGGATACCGAGTAATGCCTACATAGTGATCCTGACATTTAGTAAACTTACTAGCATCAAGGGAATTACTGAATTTAAAAATGATTGGGCAATTAGCCTGGTTAGACTTTTTACGAAGTCGTTTGCATTCACATGGAACACTAGCCATGCCGCAACAAATCAGGATTTTGTGTCTTACAGTTTTCAGGGGCAGAGAGTCTGGGACGTTGTAAACTATAGCTTGGTGAGAAGAGGTTATACGCTTCATCACCTCCGTAGCCAAGCAGTCAATCAGATTTTCAGCTTTATTTAGGTTGTCTGGAGATATTTTAGGATGCCTTTCTAAAAGACAGGCTATTGGGTCTAAATTCAAAAGCTTATTTTGAGTTACATCCAGTAAACACTTAACCTGGCCAATATCAGAACGGCTCTCCGTGGTATTTGAGATTGGCAGTGACATACTATCAAACTGATCTAATTTTTTCTGAATTTCACTTACTTGCCTCTGCATATCTTTCAAAAGGAGGTTTAGTTTACAGAACTCAGAGTTCTCTAACAGAACATCTTTCACCTGTATCACAGGAGTGAGATCTGCACTCAAACCATTTTGAGAGCTAGTAGTTGATACTGTATTACGAGGCGGTAATGCAGTTATAACCGAATTTAAGCCACTATCTAAAACAATTGTGTTTCTACGAACACGTTTTTTAGAGATTTGGACCATAATTTCAAGAATTATATGACAATAAGCAGTAAATAAATTTCAGAGCAAACACGTGCAAAAATGTCACCAATTTCGAACGTACCGCCAGAAAACAGCTCCAGAAAAAGCTATGATATGAGCCTATCTCAAAGAAGAATGCCAAGGAGAAATGAGTAACAGAATACGAGGACATTAATTCACTGCCAATATAACCGTTATTTCTTTTAAATAAAACTTAAAATTTACAAAAAAGCAGCTTAAATTAAAAACTCAAAAGCAGAGATCATATGACGTACGTGGAATATATTCTGGATCGTTGTTTTTACTAGAACAATCCGAGTCGCTACTCCTGAAGTATTCGTCGTCAACATTAGTAGAGTGATGCATTTCACGCATTAGTTCATCGAAAGTAATAACTCCATTCAAGTATCTTGAATAAAGAGTTTCGTCAGTAACAAGGCCATTAAGAAAAGAAGACATATATGATGAATCATCCGTCTCTAAGTTATCAACTTGACCAGGATCGAAGTCCTGCGACATTTCAAATGGTAAGAATATTCACCACAGTATACCTCAAGGTCAATGACTTCAAAGTCCTGTGCCAACTGTAGCTCACCACCATCGACATTCCATTCTTCCTTCGAACATGTTTCTACCGATTCGGACATGGAAAACTTCTATGAAAGCAAAATAAAACAATTTACACAGTAATATAAATATCGCATGAGATTTTTTGAAATAATAACTTGTAGAACTTTCAAAACAACTCACTATCCTAACGGAAAGACAGAATTTTGCTTACGAAACAAGCCACGATACGTGAACTAAGGGTTGCATTAGTATGAACTTTACAGCAACTTGGGTATCATTGACACTCAATATGCGTTTTATATTACAATACATTTATACTGAATACTCAGAGATCCATAGCCATCTTTTTCTCTGAAAGTAGAGTCGCTGAAACTAAATCCCATCCGTAGACAACTTCACAGTGATAGAATATGACTATAAGCCCTCTTTTATTAGGACGTGTGATGATAGAACATACCAAATAAGTCAACTATTTGGTGGTGTGTAGCTATGGGGCAGTAGTTATAACACCTTAACTCTCCATGTATATGTAATACAGGAAACTAGCTTCATTTAAAACTATACACAGCTTTCCAATCATAAATAAAGGCTCATTGATAAAAAGCTTTCCAACGGTAGCACAGTAAAGAAATTATTGTACATTCCATGGGTTTCGACAGGAACTAGGGCTTTGCCAGAACATCTGCATTCCACTCAGATATCACTTTCAACTGGCTCTACAACCACCTACAAGCTACAATTTCATCTTCACACTATCTCCTCAGTGTCACCCTCAGATTCCAAATTCGCTGCTTCCGATTCTAGTTTCTCTGGAGTACCTACAGTGTGATGTCAATCAATGGTTTCTTCACTATATACCTGACCCGTATCCCCTTCCTTTTGTATATTTGATGAGTGACAAGGTTGTTGCTGGTTTGCTTCCTGACGGACTTACTTATTGCATATCCTTTCCAACCGGAAGGCCACCTGATCTTCAACATCGACCAAAAGTAGATGTTGGTGAAATCCTGCAACCTATTGAGATTGCCGAGTCTCTGAACCACATAGGAAAAATGGCTTGAAATCAGTATTGGAAACGCAGATCCTGTTTATTGTTGTTAGTGATGCAGATCACACTGATTCCAGAAAACTGAACGCCTGTCAGTTTATCTTTCCCGAATGGCACCTGCAAGACTTTGACCTATCCATTTGCACCATATGACTACGGCTGAAAGGAAGTCCTGTCTTTGCTGCATTTCGTATTAACTCTATTTTCGCCAGTATATCTTCGATTTTTATGGGACACATGATATTAATGGTCAGTAAAGTCCAGGACACTTGTCTCAATGCATAATAAATCTCTGTGTGAAATAACTAGCGAAAGGATCAACTCCAATCACAGTAGTAAGAGTCTTAACATACCTCATACTACAAAACACATATAATTAATCCCAGCACTACTCCCTTTGGAGTCAACCAAAGCTACGACAGTCGATTGGCGGGACAAGCTACGCAGAAGTTTACCGAAGATCAGGAACCTATACCTTACAATAAAGAAGCGAGCACAAAGGAATCAAATTGGTTTATACTAGCTCGTAAAAACAATATTGGATATTGGAATGCATGGTGGCACTCATAAGGCTGGTTTCGTAGATACATCCCTCGGTACTAGAATTCTCAGATTGCCATACGCATTGTACTCCCATGTCAAATTCTAAATATCTGTTAAAATGCCTCATTAGATCTAAAATATGTGCATGTTGTGGATACCGAGTAATGCCAACATTTGTATTCTTAGTGAACTAAGTTGCTCAATGGCACACATCACATTTGGATTGAAAAGCAATGTTAACAGTACACAAATATTTCACAGTTACTCATTTCTTCACTCTGAAACTAACTGGAAAAAATTTGCGTGGAAAGAGACAATCGCCAAAGAACGACCTTGGGGCAAACCTTGAGTTTGAAAAGGTCCCGCGAATGTCCTTCAAGTACAATATCCAATTGCTTTTAAAAAGCGCACACAAACAATGTCAACTTCTCCGACCCTGCTTCCTAGAGCGACTTTATTGCATATCCCCTCAGTGACGCTTGTTGCTATGTTGCTATTGGTTTCAAGTGGCCTTGGTTTTGGGGGAAGATTTAACTGTTGTAATATTGCGATTTCATAGACATAACTCAGGCTCATAGGTAATAGAAAGTTATTATCCTGGAATAGGGACAAGTTGTTCATAAGGTAATGAGGACATTATTTTTCAGTTTATTTGTATATATACTATTGTGCATCGAATTGCACTGAGTTCTTGGTGAAACTGTATGTAACTGCATTTACATAAAGTAAAGCATTACGAATGCTCCCGTTTTTAGAATAAAAACATGATTCTTTTCATTGAGTCTAGTAATGGAGAATAGAAGTGCTTCCACGTCAGTGTTATTTAATTGAAGTTTTAATCTCTGTGGGCCATTAAAGGAATAAACTCGGCACAGAGAGCTCCTATGGAAACCGAAAGTACTTTTAGTTTACTAAATCTCACTGACTTATTTTTTATTACAGCTTGATTCCACACTGTATTTTTGGTACGATTATGGAATTTTCAGCATGGATATCGGAAGCCCGAATTTCGCAGGCCTACCATATATATCAGGTGTTCGTCGGCAGGGGATCGAACCTCGGACAATGTGCATGGTCGGCGAGTGTCCTAACCACTGTGCCACCGATGCAATGACTTCCCGAATAAATTTGATATTTTTCAAGTGTTTATTTAAAATCTGCTGGAATATTCGGTAAGGTAAAAGTCATAGCTACAACTTATGAACTAGTGCATAATTCATAGACTTGTTGTAGACGTTGGTACCAGGATACCACTTATGCAGCCGAAATATCCAATCCTCGCTTTATTGAGGAAACAATATATTGCCTGCAAAAGCAGTGCGTCAGTTTATGAGTTTCAAAAAGCATATAGAACGTTTTCTATTCAGTGATTACTGTTTGTGAATTATCCGAGAAAACACATTTCCAAGTGGGATGTAACACAAGGCTGAATTCTTAAACTGTCATCCTTATATCGGTTCAAGTGAATGACACATATACTAGTAGGACTTTGGAGACTTATCAGGGAATAGTCTCATCAACTTACAGTTTGCTGATGATATCGTCCACCTAGACTATGAGAAGTAAACCCCCTGTAAAATATGAAAATAATGCCGGTGTTTAATTGTAGGTATCTGTGTCCTATCTCATGAGTAAAGCAGTATAGTATGACGAGTTCTGTTGAGGTTACGCATAAATGTTTAGGTGGGGAGGGTAAGCTAGTCTTCAAGGTAGGGAAGCTGAATAGGTTGAGATGGCTAAAACACCTACTGGCATACCAAGCCATCGCTCTCCTCCAGGGACGATGCTAGTCAGCACATTTCAGGTTTAAAAGGTGTTTGGGTCAGTCAAATGAAAAAGTGGTATTGGTTCATAAAATCGTTGACAGTGAGCTGGAAGAACTACTAGAGATATGACTGCAAATCTTTGTCACTGGCACAGATGCATTCACTCTATGTAATCCCACATATCTATTCAATTCATGTTTTTCTTTGTCACTATTTATTGTCCCTCATATTTTCGCTCGTTAAACTTCCATTTGGTTTTATGTCTCTACCTTTGTGTGCTACATGGAATTTGGTAAATTAAACAAGTGGACTCCTCTACAAACTCACACTGAAAACTAGTCAGAATGACACAGTCTAGGCATAACTAAATGCGAAACATTGATAAATGACCTCCAAAATTTCAACAAATGATAAGTTTAGTTCTAAATCTTGTTCTTTGCTAAATGAAAAATGGATACTTTTCAGTAATCTCTTCTTCCCCCCCCCCGAGGAATTGTCTCCTAATTTGCAAGTGTTATTTTGTGCTTTATCACTTTTGTGCTGAGCTTTCAGTCAGCACATGCCGTTGTTGTTGACTCAGGACCTAGATGACTTTAGTTGAATAATGTTTCGGTCGTGCAGACACGGGTCCTGGGCAGTTGATTGGTTGAATTACCATTTCCCAAACGAAATGCAGCATACTGTATATTAAGGTAAATCTTCCGCCTCGCTCACTGAAGCTGGTGTTCCTCAGGGTATTGTTATCTCTTTTCTTTCTCTCTCGTCTTACATGACTTTTCTCTATCTAATGAGAGCAACTTCGTCAAATACGCTGGTGATTTGGCCGTCTGACTTCCTGTCATGTTACAATGTGACTGCAGCAAACTTAACTGCTTCCTGTCTGTAGTCTAAAGTACATGGTCTAACGTTAAATCCCTCTAAATGTCAGGCAGTTAAATTCCCTTCATTCATAAGCGTGAACTACAAGAACTGTTTCGTTCACAAGATGTTTGTATAAAAGAGGTCACTGAAACAGAAACTTAGTCTAACATAAAATACCTTGGAGTAGTTCTATCCTCTGGTCTTTCTTGGTCACTCTATACCTTGTTGATTTCTAAGCAAATCTACAGTCTAGCTTACCACGTTATGTAGTCAAGACAGTCAGGAATCATTCAACCTCTCTTTTAACAGTTTGTTAACTCTTGCATTAGTCTTTACTGCTCCCACTTATTCTTTCCTGAATTGCTCAAAAACGACTATATCTTATTGTGCAGGGTATTAAGATTATCATGAGGGCAAGTGGTGTACCATTTAGTCAACTTGTTAATGCATTAGTTGAAAGATATCTAAACTCATGCGAGAAATGGTCTAAATCTACTGTCTAACCCCCAACATCTCCTCTATTCTCAGCTCTTCCCTTTAATTTCATCTGATGGGACCAGAAGTCAGTAAAAAAGACTATATGATTGTTTTTGGAATTGCGTAATTCTAAAAATTGTTGTCCTTTTCATTGGCAGCAGTTCACAGACTATTGAGTTTACACAAGTACAATGCCCATTTCTCACTTTACTGAGGAGACATCAGCTAGGATTCTAGAAAAGTAGCACATCAGTATGTGAATTTTACGAATCTGTAGACTGCATTCCATTCACTTAATACTGAAACTAAACTATGAGGGAAGTGATATTTCCAAGAAGGATATTATACAAGGCTCATTTCTACAACTGTCGTCCTTAATTTAGTTCAATTTCATCATAAATCTATTAACCGATTTGTCTGCCACTCACTTTAGGGACTTACCAGGGGACATTCTTGTCAACTTAGTGTACGCTGATGGTATTGTCCACTTAGGCTGCGAGAAGTGACCACTGAAACTGGAAGATATGAAAAGACTACTGATTTTTGACCGCAATGTCTGTACCCTTTCTTCTGTGTTAAGTAGTCTAATATGATGAGTAATATTGGGGTTAAGCTTAGTGTTAAGTAAAAATGTGATTCTAAACGATGTTAATGACACATGCATTCACTCTGTGTAATCTCACATACCTGAGCATCCCTTATATTTTTTCCATATGACTGTTCGTTTTTCATCACATTTATGCTCATTACAGTTCCATTTAATTTCTGTTTTCCTCTATCTTTGTGTGCTTCATGGAATGTGATAACTTAAGCGGGTGCACTTGTGTGCAAGCTTCTATGTTGAAAGTCAGTCTGTCAGAATGATCTATAGTCAAGGTATAATGAAATGCTAAAACATAGATAAAAATAGGCGAAATGTCAACAAATGATAATCGTATTTTTTCATTTGCTTCCTGTCTAACTGAAAAAAGAGTTATCTTACATTAATATCTCCTCTTACCCAAGATAACTCTCACACTCTGTCTCGTTATATCTCATTAGTTAGTTAATTTTATCGCGTAGCCCAAATGCGAAGTCGAAACACATCTGATGAAATATGTTTTGCATATTACCAACTAAATATAATATTTTTCAAGTGTGAAATGTCACAAATCGTACTGCTGCACTTCTGTGGTGAGCTGCATGTTGAAACTCAGTCAGTCAGCTTCGTCACTGCAGATGCGTGATGTCACAACTCACTAGTGTTAATTAGCTTAAAAATAATTCATGCCGTTTCCTAAGTACTCTATGCATTTCCCAATTCCTTAAATTGTCCAGATAAAGTGCACCGAAGAGGAAAAAATAAACCAAAAGCCAGTAACATGGACGTAAGAAGTGGTGTGAACATAAGTAAATGAGATGAGTGGCCTTCTATTCCCCTAGTACGCTTGACTAAAATACTCGTATGTACAAATTAGGTAAAAAGTTGTGTAACTAACTTGATGTGATTATGAGCAATGATTTGTGCTGGAAACGTCATCAGAAAATATCGCTGTACAACACTGCGTGATATATCAAAATAAAATAGTATCCATAATGGAGTTATACTCTACCACGGTACCCAAGTTTTATACTTACGTCAAAAATACTTATCTTGGGCGTTATGTGTCTCCTAATTGTTTCATTTTTGTCTTCCTCACTTTAGGTTGTCAGTCTTCGTAGACATTTTACTAGATGTCGTCATACACAGTATCTGCAAGCAGTCCTTCAATACATCTGCATCCCGCAAAGTTTTTGTTACGACGCCTTTAGATTATTTACATTTGGCCGTAATACAATTAGTATGCTGATATTACTGATGCAATGACATGCAAGACGTGTACATGTTACTGTGAAGTTTGCCTGTAATAACATTACCTCCATAGTAAATACAAATAAAAAAATAAAACAAAAATTCGTCATAATTTTTCATTGCGTTGATAGGTGCGTATATATTAGAAAAAAGCTAACTGTCAATCACGTCTCATAAACCGTTAATGCCCAGCTCTCGCTACGCTCGGGCCCACGCTGTTCTTAGAAGATTTCAGAAACGCTTAGTTATAACGGACGCAAAAACCAAAACACCGATCTGCCGTTTGATATTTCTGTATTGTTACACCAACATATAAAAGGAATAAGCGAACTAAGGTCTGAAAACAAATATTACAATAATAAATCTCTGTATTATTTCTGACGATGTTTCACTCTTCTTTCTGAACAGCGACCGATGAGACGATGACTGTCGTATTGATGCCTCCGCGAAAATTGGGGAAGTTGATTTTGAGCAGAAAACCAAGAATTGATCGTTCAATCTTCAACTCCATTGACACTAACCTTGTCGTATAAGTTCTCTAAATAACAATCACTAAGTGCCCATACCTCTGCCGAATACCAAGTGCTACTCGCGGCCCATGAAATACTTATTACTGCATTCGTAAATAACCATCAAACTATTATTACATGGAGTAGTGAGACAGAAGACGTATGCAATTAAGATATTAATGCGTATCTGAAGTTAATGACACAATATATATGTACATGTTTCATTTCCAAACAAGAGAATTTTATAGGGCAATGTACGGCTGAGCGCAGAGAGTTAATAGTGCATTCCTTACTGTATACATCTTGTATGAGTGAAATGCTTCTATTAAATTTTCGGCGAAGCTGCAATATCACCCTGCAGGGTTTCTTCAATGCACTCTCATAGGGAATAATACTTGGTACTGAGGAATCCAGCCAAAAGCATCTGTGACACAGTCGAATGATTTTTTCAACTAAAAGCCGCAATACTGATATTAAGTGTGATTTACCTGTAAACTGAGGGACTCTAGTGTAACACAGCACCATATCCCAGCAGGGTATTCTTTGTGTTTTACAGGTACAAGTAGAATTCATGGACTGAGCATTTGTTAAATATGGAGGCGACCCATTGAGTCACTTAGACGAAATGCGATACCTTATACACGAACATCCAGATGTAGGCATGTGTCACTTCACATGAACTCTGGGCCATATCGAGTAGGCATTCCTTTAAATCTACCCTACCTTGTACGCTGAATTATTGTTCGCATATGTGATGACTTGATGCGTTTCCTGGTTTGCCTATAATTACGGAATGTACATTATATTAAAGAACAAAAGTGGATCTTGTGAACACCAGTGGTGTTCCTTCTCTAGTCTTAAATGATGTCACTTTGATTGACACGATTAAAGGAATAGGTTGTAAAGTGGTGTATTCTGTAGCTGCGAAACGTATTTACCTAGTTTCGAATCGACATAATGCGTCTAATCCTATTAACCTATGGATGTAGTTCTTCCTTCACGATATCTAGAAGTCGGGAGCAGACTTTCTTTGATAGATGTAGTTTTACTTTGTGACTAGTTGGTGAGTCACCTGGTGTTGTGGTAGTAGAAAAAACAACTCCAAACCTAAGTATTTTCTAGATATTAACATATTTACTTACTTTGACAACAATTTAATCGTTGTATCAAGAAATCCTTGGGATATTAACATTTACTTAGTAATTTGGATCCGAAAGTAAACGCCATGTTACTAAGTTATTCAAGAGACAGAATGAGTGAAACAGTATTCGGATACTTATTCTAACGAAACTGAATAAGAACAATCATTTAGCCTACCAATATGCCGTTTACTTTCAGTATTAATTCAAAGACAAATTTAATTACTCACTAAATTATTAGTTTCAGAAGACTGCTCTACTCCTGTCTTTGAAATACTTTGCCCGATCATGTTTTACTTCGATATATGTCTATACTGGCCAGCTGATATTGCCTGACCAGTTATACTGTTATCCAGTTACAATGTCCCACCTATGTTCCTATCAATCAAAACATCTCTTAAACCATCAACAAGTTACCATCATTTCTAAATAAATAATCTTAACTATTCGCATGTGAACGATGCTATAAAATCTGTCACATACGTGATGTTTCAACTTTCGATTAATCAAATAATAATAATAATATATTTCTTCCTGTTTATGCAGGAACATACCAATTGTACAGGCATGGATAAGTTATTATATAAATTACACAAAATTTGATGTATGATGAATTTACAGTTTGGTTGTTCTTTCTGACATCAAAGTCAGTCGGAACAGTCTGCTATAAAGTTTGTTTGTGTAGCACATAAAGAGATATAGAAATATTGTCTTCGCATTAACAAAAAACCCAGACATCAGATGAATGTAATACAAATATCTGGGAAAAATAAAGCTTGAAGTCAATTCTCTTATATAACTTTGTTGTGAACAGCACCCTTGGCTTAAAGATTATTGATGTATTATGTTGAGATCAGTGATATATTTATTCCATTTTTTCAGTAGTCTTATCGTAGTTTTATAACAGGAAAGAAATTTGATCGTGGATACGAAAACTAGATAAGGTCATGTTGGGTTGTTTTACTGCATCAAATGGTGCCGAGGTCGATTCCAGAATTCTCCATTTGCTCCATTTGTGTCTGCATGGCGGACTGTATTCGTAAGTTGAGTAAAATGTTGAAAACTGTTTGAAAACCAGTTGCTTCTTCATTTCAGATCATGAATACTCATTTACAGCATGTTCGCCAGCGTCTTCAAATGGTAGAATTGGATCGTTCATGGAATTTGAGTGGTTATGAGATAGACGGTTTGGAATTAATCCTCATTTCAGTTTAGATGCAGGGTTGTTCGACCTCGACCAGAAGATGAATAGGAGCAGCAAAATACCAGAAAGAGAAAGTATGTGAACATGAAAAGGACATTAATATTTTATGCATTTATAAATGTTTATCTTAATTGTAAATTATACTTAAGTAAACATTTTTCTATATTGTATTTGTTTTCACGTATTTATGCGAAGTCTTAGAGTTTATTTAATGTCATAATGTGTATTAATGAGTCTGAGCGTTTTAGTGTTCTAATGACTGATGCGTTTTAGAAATAAGTGATGGGTTCTGGTAGGGATAGTCATTTGGACAAAACAGTTTATATAGCAAGCGTTTGAAGGTTACAATGAGGGATAGGTCCTATTTCTAAGGGTAAACTAATCCTGTATGTTCCGTACTATGTCTTTATGCATCCATGCTGCTAGTTTATTTATAGTTTAAAGATTGCTAAGGGTGTTGAAGTGCGTCTTTTAGGTGCTGTAGTAGATTAGTGCTTGATTCGTTCTAGGAGTAAATAGTTTATTAATATAATCAGTAGAGTGAAACAGTCTGTATAGAGAGCGTTTGAAGCTTGTAACCGAAGAGCAAGTTCTGATATCTAGGGGTAGGCTATTCCATATTTTAGAATACATGACTGTGAAGAAGTTTTCACGGAGTGTTGACTTAAAAGAATGAGTTGTCACTGTGGAAGTTTGGTTACGCAGATCGTAAGAACCTTCCTGTGCGAATTGTATGTCCCTGTTACCTGAGAAAGATATTTTGTGAAGGACCTTAAAGAAGAATATTAGGTTTATAATAAGTCGCCTTGTCCAAAGTGGGTCGAGTTTTAGGATCATGCACCGTGAGATGTAGTCTTTCTTACAATCGTAGCCAAGCAGTTTTGAGGTAAAATATCGTTGGATACTTTCCATCCTTAGCTTGTCGCGTGTGCGAGTGCTGCTTATAATAAATGGACAGTATTCTAGTAGTGGTCTGACACATGTTTTGTACAGAATTAGCTTGGCTTCATTG